ATATATATATATATATCTTTACTTTGAAACAGCAATTTCATGAGTGTTTCGACTGGCCCAGACTACACTACTACTTTCTTTGAAGGAAATGGGCCCATAAAGACAAGTTTGGTCATCTTTTCTTTCTTGTCTGATTTACTTTCTGCCACTGACGGGGATGGACTTGCTGTGATGCAGCATGAATGTCTGATCTGTTGGATCCATTTATTCTTGCATAAGCATTTTTTGATTGTGTGAAAAAAAAACAAACAATAAAACTTTTTTTTTTTAAGTTAAGCTGCAGTTTGTTGTGAGGAGTCAGTGAGTGGTGTTTTCTGTCTCTGTGTCTAATGTCTGTAGTATCTGCAGGTGTTGAGTAAATAAAGCCTGTGACACAGTTCAACGAGCGTGTGTTCGTGCTTTCATCAGACATGTCTTCATTGGTTGTAATCAGCTTCCAGTGAAGGTGGCGCGCCAGCCTGTTGCTTGAACTGTCACATACATCCGTAGTTTAGTAGTTAAGACCGGAACTGTGTTTCCATAATGTAATAGTGAAATCCTCCACGGTTTCCCATCAGAGCACAGCCCTCCGTCACATGCTTCAATGTTGGTTTTCACCCAGGATGAAGGGGGCCAGGCCAAACACAAGTGGACGCTGAGAAGAATAACGCCCAGATCCACGAACGGTGGCAGAACAACTCCTTTTCCCAAAGGAATGACTTTTGCCGTTTTTGTGCCGTTTTGTAGCGCTATGAAGTAAAACTCCGCCATATTCACCCCACCACGCCCGGAGCTCAGCTACCAGGGTAAAAACTCGCTACTTCAGTCTTGTAAAGTTGTTGCACAAAATTAATTTCCTCTTCGCAACGAGAGAAACAAGCTAATACAAACTGCCCCCGGAGCAAGTACTACTGCGAATTTATGTTTGTTAAGCCTTTAAGCCTTGTTTCCAGTTCAGGAGGACATTGTTTTGGTGCAGGCTGTGGGGATTTCGGAGCTGCTAAACTAAATATATTGACTTAAGGATACTCGGGGACTTTTCTTCCTGTATAACCAGTATTATCTGTGTTTGTGTTATCCAGGAGTAATGATTCTGAGCTCCTTGGGGGCTTGCTGCCTTAGCCCAGGGGCCAAGGAGGCTCGAAGGATCAATGGGGAGATTGAGAGGCAGCTCCGCCGGGACGAGAAAGACTCCCGACGGGAATTCAAGCTGCTTCTGTTGGGTAGGTTTCTGTATTAAAGGCCTGTTACTGAAGTAATGAAGTAAGGAGCTGGTGCTGATGCAGGTCGAGGCATTTTGGGTCTAATCTGTAATGCAACTATAGCTGTTAAATTGATATTGAAGAAACAAGTTTAATATTTTCTTATGCAGAAGCAGTGAAGTCAAATTATAAAGTTCCAGTTAAAATAGGTAGGTAGGTACTTTATTGATCCCCCAATGGGGAAATTTAAGTGTTTCAGCAGCAATAGAGAACAGACAACATAACACCATGAGAACAAGCACCACACACACATCCTGATAAATAAATTCCAAGTACTCAAAAATAGACAGAATCAAGTATTTGAATAATCAGAACAGAATTTACATATGTGCATATTATCTATGCATTTTACTCCAGGATTTGAGTATTGCACCTCAGTTGACTATTACATAGTCCCTCATACTTTCACCTAGCTTATCCCTGCAGTGATGTGTTGTACAGTCTGATTGCTGTGGGGAGGAACGACCTTGATGTGTTGTACAGTCTGATTGCTGTGGGGAGGGACGACCTACGGTAACGCTCCTTCTTACACTGGGGATGTAACAGTCTTGCACTGTTCAGGAACTGTTCAGAGCCTCTACTGTGTGGTGAAGTGGATAGGAGGGGTCGTGCATGATGGATGTTAGTTTTACCAGCATCCTTCTGTCCGCCACCTCCTTGATGGGAATCCAGGGGGCAGCCCAGGACAGACCCAGCTCTCTTGACCAGCTTGTTTAGTCTCTTTCTGTCCCTGTCCGTGCTACCTCCCGCCCAGCCCAAAACAGCGTAAAAAACAGCAGATGCCACTACAGTATCATAAAAAGTCAGAATGAGTGCCCCCCGCACACCAAAGGACCTCAGTCTCCTCAACAAGTGGAGGCCGCTCTGGCCCTTCGTGTACAGGGCATCAGTGTTTTCAGTCCAATCCATTTTGTTGTTGAGGTGGACCCCCAGGTATTTAAAGGTGTCCACAATCTCAATGACTGAGCCCTGGAAGTTCACCGGAGTGAGTGCTGGTGATTTCCACCGGGGATCAATCACCATCTCTTTAGTCTTACTGGTGTTCAGGACCAGTCGATTTTCCTCACACCACTTCACAAAGTCAGTAACAACCCCCCTGTATTCCCACTCACCTTGGGAACCGGGACAACACAGTCTTCCATAGGGCTGGGACTCTCTCCAGTCTAAGACTCAGGTTAAACATGTACAGGACCACCTCACTGACCTGGTCTGCACACTCCCTGAGGACCCTGGAGCTGATGTGGTCAGGGCCTGTGGCCTTCCTGGCCTTAATCCTCCTTAACTCCCTCCGGACCTGGTCTGCCATGAGGCGGATGGGGCTGATGGGCGGTGACTGCTCAGGAGCTGTGGGATGTTGAGAAACCCCCGTGAGAGTGGGAGGAAGGGCAAGGTCCAGCTGAGGTGTGAGCAGTGCAGCTGCGAGGAGACAACTGACCTGGAGAAGTAAGTCGGGGGGGGCTGAGGACTGGGTAGAGTCAAATCTATTAAAAAACAGATTCAGTTCATTTGCCCAGGCCTTGTCCCCCACAACCTGGTGACCATCTCCACTTTTACTATGACCCGAGATGTATTTCAGTCCTCTCCACACCTCATGCACGTTGTTATTCTCCATGCTCTGCTCCAGCTTCCTCCTGTGGCTAGCCTTGCACCTCCGGATCATGTACTTTAGTTCCCACTGCACCCTGCTCAGATCCTCCTTGTCCCCTGAGAGGAAAGCCCTCTTCTTCTCATTTAGCAGTACTTTTAACTCGGGGCTCACCCACGGCTTGTTGTTAGGAAAACACTGTACTCTCCTGGATGATACGGTATTTTCCACACAGAAGTTTATGTAATCCGAAACACAGTGTGTGAAGCCGTCTATGTCCTCTTCATGAGGACTGCAGAGGATATCCCAGTCCGTGGTGTGAAAACAGTCCCTCAGCTGCTCAATTGCCTCCTCTGTCCTACCTTTAGTACCCTGACCTGAGGTGACACTTTTTTCACCACTGAAGTATAAACAGGAATCAGGTGGGCAAGGGTGTGGTCAGAGCGACCTAGAGGGGGGAGGGGGGAGGGGGGCGGAGGTGTACGCCTTCCTGGCATTTGCATACATTAGATCCAGAGTTTTATGGTCCCTTGTGCGGCAATTTAAATGGTGGGTGAAGTTTGAGAGGGTGGCCGAGAAGGGGAGAGAAGCATGGTTAAAGTCCCCCCCGATAAGAATTAAAGCATGTGGATGTTGTGTCTGCAGCCCGGCTATGAGCACCGGGCAAATAAAATAGTAAAATACTTCAAGTACTACCTAAAACACCTCGCAATTAAATAGTTTTTGAGTAAATGTACTTAAGATTAGACTATTCACTTTCCAATTCTGGATATAAATGAACTATAAGGCAACTCACCAACAAATAGACATCAAAACCCTTGACTTAACTGGACTTGGAAGTATGTGATGATGCTTTTGTGGTGAAGCAGTCACCAAGGTGATGTCTTTACCTGCATTAATCGGTTTGTTGGTTGGTTCACATCATAATGTGATGAATTAGCTTAAAGTTTGTTTGGGATGGAAGGTTATAGATGTTTGAAAAGGTCCCCAACTAGACGCTTTGTTTGTTTGTTTGAATGGAGTCAGAAGCCAAACAGGTTTGGAACTACCGGGTTAATGTTCAGCATAACAAATACTTTTACTTTTGATACTTAAAACTCATTTTGCTGTTACTACTTACATACTTAAACTTGACAAGGATTTTTAATACACTGTTGAATGTATGTTTATACTGTGGTATTACTATCTTTGCTTCAGTAAAAGATCTCAGTACTTCGTATTCCCCAGTGTATGGTAGAAATAAACTGAAACTCCTCACAAAATAAGTAAAAAAATGCAGATGTACATATCCTTTACTTGATTAGCCTTTAAAGTACTTGAGTGCATAATGATGTGTTTGTGGTTGCATATGAAGAGCTAATGTGCACTGTAAAAATGATGCAGCTGTGTGTGGTCACAGCACAGCCCACCACAGAAAACTCCACAGCATAACAAGTAGACCATAATCATCATAACCAGCGATGGAGGAAGAATTCAGGCCCTTTTAGTTTGAAGTGACACAGCACAATCTAAAAAAAAATACCATTACAAGTAAAAGTCCTGCAGTCAAAATGTTATTCAAGTAAAAATACATAAATCTTATCAGTGAATTGCAAATAAAATAGTAAAAGAAAAAGCATTTGTACAGAAAAATCTTCCATGTGAGTGTTATTAAATATATTACAGTAGCATGAATGTGCTAATATGTTCTTACTCATGTGGCTGGTTGAGGTGGTGTTAGTTTGAAGTAATAATACTAAAACAGCAACAAAACTGAAAATAAAAAAATACATAAATTTAACTAATTCAGTCTTTTAGTTGTGTAATAGACAACATAGTGTATATTATAAATGGGTTATAGATGGGTATTTTGTCCATAAAATCTTAATCCATGAAGTCAGTGGTACCTACAGCTGTCAAATGAATGTAGCGTAATATTTCTGTTTGCAAAGTAATGGCATGTATAAGTATTTAAGTAAAGTACAGTGTTTGTTCTTCCACCACTGATTACAGCAGACTGTTCTTACTGAGTAGAGACGCTTTAGTCCCATCAGTTTGAAAATAAATACATTTATAGTAAATATCTGATAGCTGTATCATCATGGAGGCCATATTTTATTTCTCTTACTTGACAAAAGATGCAGTGTTCAGACTGGGGGCTCCAGCAAAACGATGCAACCCGGTGCGGCAAAAAAGTCGGATCTGTTTCAACTTTCACCGCACCAGACGGTGACATCATGCCATTATTGGTACATGTATTATTCCCTAAAAAATTCTTATAATTCTTGTCCTAGGACAGTTTTTTATGCCTCTTTCTTACGTTTTGATATTTTTCAGGTGAGAAAATAGCCATCTAGTTTTCACATATGTGAGCCACTGTGCTCATATTATCACATTCTGTGACCTACAGTGTATGTGATAGCATTTACGATGTGGTGGTTCATGTAACGGTATATGGTACCAGAGGCTTGAGGCCTCTGGTACCATAAATTTGACCCTCTTTAACACTCGTAAGTGAGAAGTGACAGCTTAGCAAGGCTGTGAGTAAGTTTAAGGTGTACTCCAGTTATACTGGTTGTGGTTTCTTTGCTTTCAAAAGTGACTGACTCATGCTGAATATGCAACCACCCTTTCAGGTTTGAAAAGCACATGCATAGTTTCAGTGCTGACAAAACAATGACCATGTATTTAGAAGACACATTACATTTTAAGGGTTACACCATATTCAATTTAGTGTCATTCTAAATAGTCCTATCAAGTGTTTACCAACCTTTTAAGATAGTAGTCTCCTTTAAAACTCCTAAATGATAGTGGAGGTCATTTACAGTTACTTTGCTTGCAAAGGTCTCTGTTGCCCATGTGCGTGCGCTGTCATATCATCTATGTCAGCCACAGGGGGGAAATGCCGCAGCTTGTTTTAGTTCAGCCTTTTTAAAAGATATAGTCCGTGCTGAGATGGCAAAATAGTGTGTGTAAAACATAAGTCAAAGAATAAGCAAAAGGCCCCGAGGGTACAAAAACAAGACGCAACCAAGACTGTGGTAGTTAAGGTAATTCCAAGATTGCATAAGAGTGGGGAGTGTAAGTGCTTCACACACGGTACCTTGTCAATACCAAACCTTGCTATTGTGTTAGTTAATACAGACAGCGGACAGAGGTAGAAGATAAGACTTCTGAAGATATCCCAGCTAACAATGAAATGATCCCACTAACAAGTATGATGTAGTGTATTTCCAAGAGCCATAGAACCCCGCTGTTGTCCAACCCTGCTAGCAGCTCTGTGGTGCTCTGCTTAGGCATAGCCATGCTGAGACCTAGGTACTAGCATTAGCATGCTCACAGTGATAGTGCTTATATGCTTGTGTTTGGCAGGTACAGTATACCTTTCACCATGTTCACCATCTTAGTTTAACGTTACAGCCTAGTAACATTTGCTACTTTGCACTAAACACAGCAAAGTACAGCTGGGACTGATAAGGATGTCATTAGTTTTGCAGATAGCTGGCCGTAGTATTTTATCATTATTACATACTGGAGAAATTGGAACTTTGACCTGGTAATGATGAAAAGTCATGTGATTGCAAGTCATTATGAGAGTAACATGAATGTCTATTAAATTTCATGGCAGCCCATCTTGTAGTTGTTGAGGTATGTCATTCTGGACCAAAGTGGTGGACTGACAACTGACATAATAGATGTAATAGAAACGATTGAAAATGCATCAGTGAGCCATGTTGTTTCATTAGATAACGTGTTCCTTTATCATCAAGAACATGGGCAGCGAGTTATTTTGAGCTGATCCTTCATAGAGCGTACTGCTGCTCTGAATGCACCACAATGGGGGAGGGATGTATTGAGAGATGGTCTAACATGTTGATTTTGGTCTTTTAATGGCATTTATTTACAATTAAAATATAGAATGCCGTCCGCCTTGTCCTTTAGGTATGTATGTGCATCTGCAGTAATGTTGTGTATCTGTTGTGGTGTCCAGGAACTGGTGAAAGTGGGAAGAGCACTTTCATCAAGCAGATGAGGATTATCCATGGCCGTGGATACTCTGAAGAGGACAGGAGAGGTTTCACAAGGCTGGTCTACCAGAATATCCTCACAGCCATGCAGGCCATGATCCAGGCCATGAACACATTACAAATCCCCTACAAGTATGAACACAACCAGGTAGACTAGGCTGGTGTTTTTTGCTCTCTCTCTCTCTTTTTTTTTCCTTGCTGTTTCTCATAGACAGATTGAGGAAGAGGTTTTACAACACACTGTCTCACTGAAGTGTGTGCAAGGTTTATTTTCTCTGACACTCACGGAGCCTGCAGCATGTTTTATTGTGTATTCACAGTGAAGTACTTCCCATAATTTGCAACGGTGTTTAGTTTTGCAATCCTGCTGCTAGAGTTTTGCTTACTTATTGAGGCTGTCTTTTTGGAACGCAGACGTGACATTACACTGCCGTCATGTAAAGACAGGTGGCACTGAGCCAAAAACAAGAAAGAGACAGAATATGAAGGGATACAGAGAATTCCCCATTAATCAAACAGGGATCTGCCCTTGTCGTAGCCAAGGCAGGAGCTTATTAATCACAGAGTTGCTGTTTCACACGAATATGCTATATAAGTTAAAGTTCCAAGTAAGGCTGATACCCAGACCAGGAGAGTCCATTTCCTGTGTACTGTAACAACATGAGGAGGATGTTTTGTAAACATTAACCAAGTCAGAGTCAGCATGTGGGTTACACGTTTTTCTTGTCAACAGTAAGAATGAAGTTCTGAGATCACAGGCTATAGGCTTTATATAAAGATGGACAATGTGTCACCACTTTCTGCCACTATGCAAACGTGAAACCAAAATAATGTGAATACAGGGGCTGCCATCTTACACTTTGTGATGCATTTTGCAACCAGATTCTGTGCAGTAGCTGTCGGATCATCTGAAATGCACCCCTTTTTATATCATTGAATAATTTATTACAAACTTGTCAGAAAAGCAACCATTTATACACAGATCACTGTGATAATATCTAACAAAAATGACGGATAACAATCAGCTTTGGGGAAATTGCATTTGATTTATTTATTTATTTTTTAATGTTTAGTCCCATCTACTGAGATGGAGAGGTTTCTGACCTACCCTGCGGTCAGCCACCAGGGGGCGGTTGACTTGTGATGGCTTCACTTCTGGGGAGCTGTCACATCGTCCATCTTTATATACAGTCTGTGGGTGTTTCTCATATGGGTTGTTGTTGTTTCCCTCACTTGCATCTTATCCTTAATGTAAGATGTGAGGAAAAAAATGCAGAAAAAAACACGAGAGAGGACTCGAGGAAACGGGACGTCCTTTCCTTTTATTCTTCATCTGAAGTGTCCAGTCACCAACTGCTTTCTGATAAAGGGGTGTGTCGGTTCATGAAAAACGTCTGTGAAGGATGGTCTCGTGTATCCTCGGTCATGGCTCCTCCAGCAGTCTCCTCGGTCCTCAGAAGCGATATAAGAGACTCGGAGCGTCTTTGGTCGACTGGAACAACTTCTGGGTCAATCAAGGATGTAGAGACTTAAGAAAATTGTAGTACAAATGGAGTTGCTGGATTGTCCTTGATCATGCCATTGATGTATGATTAGTAGTACAAATCAGGTTTTGAAGTATGGAACCATTAGAATTAGCCTTACCACCTATTATGACTATTTCTGAGGCCTGCTTGGTCACCATTTCCCTCTAACATCCACATTCATAATTCTTCAGTGACAGTGTGTAAGAACAAAAGCATGAGCTCGTTTCTATGAATCACTCCATTTGTTTCTGAAAGTGTTGGGTTATGTCATTAATTTCTCTTCTGTTGTTCAGGCCAACGCCAGTATCATCAGTGGGGTTGATGTGGACAAGGTGACAACATTAACAAGCCTATATGTGGATGCAGTCAAGAGCCTGTGGAGTGACCCAGGGATTCAGGAATGTTACAGTCGGAAGAGGGAATACCAGCTCTCAGACTCGACCAAATAGTGAGTGCAAACAGAGACTAATTACTCCTCAGACATTGCCAAATAGTTTCTAGTGTTTCTTCTGCCAGTTGTCTGTTTAATGCACTCAGAGGGTTTTGTCTTGAGTGGTTATTCCATTTAAGGCTGTTGACACAAGGTTTAAAGGCAAGGAAACACTATTTAAAGAGTCACTGAAGAACTAAATAAATGTACTGGTTCTTTGACTCATTTTAACTGGTTTTGTTGTCATTTTAACTATGCATTGTCTTCCTGTGCTAATAGCTATCTGAATGACTTGGATCGAATTGCTGATGCTGCTTATCTGCCAACCCAGCAGGATGTTCTGAGGGTCCGAGTGCCCACAACAGGTATTATAGAGTACCATTTTGACCTGGAGAAGGTGGTGTTCAGGTGAGTGTTTTGTGGTGACACTCGTGGTTTGTAAGATGGTGTGTTCTACTGATTTTGGTGACCTGTTGACTTTTTCTCTAACTCCGTCATGAAGTTGAACAGTTTTTGTAAAATATCCCAACAACTATTGGGTACATTGCCATGAAATTTGGTGCACCCATTCATCCCCCCTCTCAGACTGAACTGTAACAAATTTATATGATACCGATCTTTTATTTAGCGCCACCGTCAGGTCAAGTAATGACATTCCCTTAAGCCTCAGCTGAAATTTGTGCTTTGTGCTGATTAGCAATTATTGATAAACATTATACCTGCTTACTGTCATAGTGTCTTTGTGGCCACATTAGTATGCTAATGTTAGCATTGATCTCAAAGCACTGACTACTGCCTCACAGAGCTGCTGGTATGATTGTAGATCCTTAATCATATTTCCCTCCTTTCCTGATAAAACTAGGGAGCATTTCTGTGGAAGTAGAGTCACAAATTGGAAGCAGTTGGTCTTGTTTGAGCATAGATAGACCTTGTTAAACAATTAATTGCCAAAGGTCCATAGTATTATTCTGGCCCTTAATACAGTAGCTTTTTAGCTTTTATCAGCTCTGTCAAAGTTTCCACTCCCAGAATTTAGCCCACTTTACCTTTCAATGTTTTTTTTTATTATTATATTACTGTTATTAAGGAATTTAATAATTTACTTAATTACCTTAGTGGTGCCTGAAAATTTGAAGAGTATAACTATTTGTTAATGAGCAGTATGATCTTTTTTTTTTTAATGATTGCTTAAACCTGTGGCTGTAGGATGGTGGATGTGGGTGGCCAGCGTTCAGAGCGGAGGAAGTGGATTCACTGTTTTGAGAAAGTCACTTCCATCATGTTCCTGGTGGCGCTCAGCGAGTATGATCAGGTCCTGGTTGAGTCGACCAGTGAGGTAAAATGTGGCCTGCTGTCTGTAAAGTAAATGTTAACAAGTCTTAACAAGCTAATCTTTTCCTATTTGTGTTGTGAATCTGTAGATGGGAAAGAAAGGTGCTCACTTTGGGATAAAAATTGCTGAGAGGAAGTGGAAAACAAAGTGATAGTTTGTTTTGTTCAAAGCCAAACCTGTTAGGTGAAGATGATGGCCTAGATGTCTACCAAGTCCAGCACTAGTCTGATTTCCTAACTTTCCTTTTCTGGTCACAGTGACCCTTTTTGTGGCAGTGCACAAAGATCACCTGCAGGGGGAGCTCTTTAGTTGCTCCGTTTAGCAAAGTGCACCTCTCAGCAGGGCCTGTTCACTCAGTGAGATCATAAACCAGTTGTATTTACTCACAGAGGCAGTCACTGCTGAAGTACTGCTGTCTAACACATCTGAATTCATAATTTTGATCATGCTGAGATGTTTGTGTCATGTTTTTTTTTTTTTTAAGAATCGAATGGAAGAAAGCATGGCCTTGTTTCGAACAATCATAACCTACAAGTGGTTCAGAGATTCCTCAGTCATCTTGTTCCTCAACAAAATTGATTTACTGGAGGAGAAAATCATGTATTCACATTTGGTCGACTACTTCCCTGAATATCATGGTAAGAGGACGGTTAATTCTTGACACCAGTCATAAAAATGCAGCCGAGTGTGATAGTATCTATGTTGTCAACATACTATTACAGTGACTTAGTTAAGCATGTCTGTCTGTCTGTTGGTATTTAGATTAGCTGTCTTTAAAGTGACATTGTGTAATTTTTAATGGAAGAATTCATCCTGCAGATGAAAATTTGAACTCATAAACAATAACACACTTTTACTTAATTTAACACACTGCCTAGTTTCACTGCTGCAGCATCACTTGGTCTGGTATGACCAGTATCTTATGCTGGCTAATGTTAGCTAACCAAACAATACTGAGTCAGTTTCATGAATTCTCTATTTGTGCTGCCGTTACTATTTTTACACTCCATTTTAACATTTACTAATATGACATTATTGTCCAGACCTGGCAGTTTATCATCGTTGGTCGACCTGACAGCGAGTAGAACAGGGTCACACGCGTGAAACAATCTGTGTATTACTTCTTGTTTTACTTTTGTGATAAAACTATTGAAATGTTTGAGATACACAAAACCATGAATCAACATGAACTGACTTTCAGATTATAACATTTTAGATCAAGAGGTTGTTTTTTTAATGGATTAAATTTTTAATTTATAAGAGGAAGACTGTGGTATGCATCTTTCAGTGGTTACATAATATCACTTAAATGTTGCCCAACTATTTTATGCTATAGTGCCTCATTGTCACTACAGAAAATACCATAGCTACATTCATGTGCTGTTTTTTCCTCTCTGTAACCTTCTACCAGGTCCCCAGCAGGATGTCACAGCAGGAAAGAAATTCATCTTAGATATGTTTCTCAGTCTCAATCCTAACGAGAAGAAAAGGATATACTCCCACTTCACCTGTGCTACAGACACAGACAATATTCGATTCGTCTTCCGCGCGGTGAAGGACCACATCTTGTTTGAAAACCTGGAGATCTACAACTTGGTTTAAGATAGTGCTGTTGCTGGTGTGATTCAATCGGCTCTGTGCAGCTGGCAGCCAGGAGAGCTCTGCAGTAATTCAGTTTGCCTTACACTGCTACTAAGCACTGTCATTCAAAACAGGAAATTGAGAAGCTACAGAGCCAAAATGACCATGTACTACTGATGTATTTAATTTTTCCTGTTGGGCTCTTTGAAAATGGATGTCTCCAGCTACTTCCTGACAATTAAAGTGCTGCCTTAGTGTGGAGTCTGTGCATGCAGAAATTTATGGAGCTTGTTGTGAACATTTTTCTTCGGTAACGGTGTAAATGCACATGGATAGCTAGAGATGGAAAGCAGTGTTTTTGTGGCCTCAAAAGCCTCCGAGGACTAGTAAGGTACTATGGTAGGTTTCTCCTTCAGAGAATCTGTGGAAGACTTGCTACATGCAGCACCTCACATCACTAACCCAGGTTGGTCCCAGTTGTTTTTTTTTTTTTTAAAGTTAAAAACTCTTTTAAATACTCTAAACATGCTCAGCTTGTCTTGATTTAATGGGAAACAAGTCATAATTAACACTAATACATTTATCACAGATAAACACTGGTTCTCTTGTATCATTGGCTCTTCTGCTGATCTTCTCTCTCTGTGGTCACTGTCACTTATATTTGTACACTTTGTCTGTGATGGTGTTGTTCACTGTTAAACCACTTTGTGCAAGCTCAGCATTAGCATTTTCTTAAACAGGTAACATGTTTCGTAGGGACATTTGCATATCCTTTTTTAAGTCATGCCATAGCTTGTAGAATACTGTTCATTCGATTCATGTACATCGGGTTGTTTTCTAAAAATCATTTGCTAAAATGGTCTCTGATCTTGCCTCGTTATTTATCTGAATGCATATTGTAAATATTGCATGGTAGCATGGTAATTTGCTAGGTTCTTTTCACCCGTGTTGAAAGGCTAAGCGAGATAGAACTGTTTAAATCATCTCTGGGGGGCATTTAAATAGTGTGTACTTGATCTATTTTATAGATTGATGTACTACTTAAGGATAGCAAATGCATGGATTAAAAAAACAAACAGCTGATCTCAGCACTTATGTTTACAAAACTCTTGTTAATGATTTGTTTAGTTCAATGTATGCTTAGATGTCAATGTGATATCTTAATGCAGTCTTAGTATTTTTAATCGGATTGGTTAAATAAATGGCCATTTTGCTACTCATGTTTTCATTCTTTGTCTGTGTTTACAAATCGGCTGCAGCAAACGGTTGGTTAGCTATTCATGTGTTTGTTGTCTTGGCTGCTCCATCGGCTCATCTGGAGCAGTGCTAGTCCTGAAATCCTCTGTGATGCATCCATCTGGCTGCAGCAGCATGTCCGTCAGAGGTCCATATTTTTAATGTTGTACACAGGGTTTATGTAGTGTGGCACGGAACCTTTATTTTTGGTAGAGGACACGTGCTGAGAGTAAAGTGGCAGCAGTACATGGCACTAGTGATGTGCAAGGATGGCTGAAGGCTTGAGGAGGCTGTTGGCCACATTTAATCAATCATTCTACATTCTATAGTCAGACATGTTGATTGAATGTAAAAACACTAAGGTTGCACCTTTTTTCATTATTAATATGGTCATTTTCTTGACTAATCCATTGTTTTATCTGTAAAAATAGAAGAAAATGGTCCATAGCAGTTTTTTCCCTTGTGGAAATCCTCATGTTTGTGAAGCCAGAAAATGTTCAACTTAAAATAGTTTGAAATGTTTAAATGACTGATCAGTTGTCAAAAGACAGAAATGGCCTATTTTACATAACTGTTTCAGCTCTAATAGGTATCAGTGCTGCTTATTTGTGTCTTCTTTGGGAAATTATACAGCAGGTTTTATATCAATACCATGTGACATCCAGTATGTTAAAGCACTTGTGGTGCCCTATTATGGCATCATGTTGCATGGATGTGTCTGTATTCTAGTGTAACACACACAGTTGAGTGTATGCACTGGACATTGTGCACCAGTAAGGGGTGAAGCACTTGAATCTGTCAGCCAGAGAGGGCGGTGAAATCCTTTTCTCTCTATTACTCTTCTTCTTTTAGCCTGGTCTTAAGTTACTCTAAACACTTTTTCATGCATCACAATTGTCTCCCCTCATTTTCCGTTGATTGATTGATTGAATACTGGTTTCAGCTTTAAGTTGTGCATGGATTTATTTACTGGGATCTGGGGGAGGTTTACAAATTTGTGACTTGGGGGCGGCCTAGGGCAGATTTGTGCAGTAAAATGCTAAGACTAAAGTGCTTAGACTAAGTACTTTCCAAATCTAATCTGAAGTGAATGAGTGATGATTCTTACTGCTAACTCCACCTAAACTTGGCGGATTTATTTTTGCACAAAAAGAATAATGTGTTTTGATGATTTTCTTGTGGAGACAGTCACATAAAGCGGCCCATGGGAGTCGAGCTGAAACTCCCTACCTTTCTTTGCCTGTCCATCTGCCCGCCTCCCCTGCACAGCAGAAATGTGAACTGCACCTGAGCTAGGTCGTGCATGAGGAAGAATGACTGCCGAAAGTCACCGACACACCTGTTCCAAGACAGAGGTTTCCCTGGCAGGTCCGACAAAAGTCATTATCCATTCATTTCACTAATCCCCGTCGGCTGCGGGTCAACTTGGACCACGATGGTAGTCAGACATGTTGATTGAATGTAAAAACACTAAGGTTGCACCTTTTTTCATTATTAATATGGTCATTTTCTTGACTAATCCATTGTTTTATCTGTAAAAATAGAAGAAAATGGTCCATAGCAGTTTTTTCCCTTGTGGAAATCCTCATGTTTGTGAAGCCAGAAAATGTTTAACTTAAAATAGTTTGAAATGTTTAAATGACTGATCAGTTGTCAAAAGACAGAAATGGCCTATTTTACATAACTGTTTCAGCTCTAATAGGTATCAGTGCTGCTTATTTGTGTCTTCTTTGGGAAATTATACAGCAGGTTTTATATCAATACCATGTGACATCCAGTATGTTAAAGCACTTGTGGTGCCCTATTATGGCATCATGTTGCATGGATGTGTCTGTATTCTAGTGTAACACACACAGTTGAGTGTATGCACTGGACATTGTGCACCAGTAAGGGGTGAAGCACTTGAATCTGTCAGCCAGAGAGGGCGGTGAAATCCTTTTCTCTCTATTACTCTTCTTCTTTTAGCCTGGTCTTAAGTTACTCTAAACACTTTTTCATGCATCACAATTGTCTCCCCTCATTTTCCGTTGATTGATTGATTGAATACTGGTTTCAGCTTTAAGTTGTGCATGGATTTATTTACTGGGATCTGGGGGAGGTTTACAAATTTGTGACTTGGGGGCGGCCTAGGGCAGATTTGTGCAGTAAAATGCTAAGACTAAAGTGCTTAGACTAAGTACTTTCCAAATCTAATCTGAAGTGAATGAGTGATGATTCTTACTGCTAACTTCACCTAAACTTGGCGGATTTATTTTTGCACAAAAAGAATAATGTGTTTTGATGATTTTCTTGTGGAGACAGTCACATAAAGCGGCCCATGGGAGTCGAGCTGAAACTCCCTACCTTTCTTTGCCTGTCTATCTCCCTGCACAGCAGAAATGTGAACTGCACCTGAGCTAGGTCGTGCATGAGGAAGAATGACTGCCGAAAGTCACCGACACACCTGTTCCAAGACAGAGGTTTCCCTGGCAGGTCCGACAAAAGTCATTATCCATTCATTTCACTAATCCCCGTCGGCTGCGGGTCAACTTGGACCACGATGGAGGAGTGCTGCCTGTCTGCAGACGAAGCGGACTCACTCCGGATACACCGAGAAATAGAAAGACAACTTCGTCGAGACAAAAGAGAATCTCACCGGGAGTTGAAGCTGCTGCTTTTAGGTGAGTGCGACGGAAGTGTTCACCTTCTGAGACAAAACGGATCACTACAATGTGGATGTTAGTGTTTACATCTCGCTTACAAATGGACTGAAGTGTTTTCACAGTAGGCGCTAGAGACTCTGATGGTCACGGCCCAGGTGACTGCAAGTTGGCCTGTTTACATTTTGATATGGGGGGTGGGGGCTAAACTGAAATAAAAACAAAAAAAACTTAACTAATACCTTTGTTCTTTATGATATTTCAACAGAAGCTAGTTCCTCTAGGGAGACCTTCCTGTGATGATCCATCTAGTCTGGTTTGTTGAGATGTAGATGTAACATTTTGGTAGGAATACCTTAGTCATTTTTTAAACAACTGTGACCAAAATAGGCCATGCACAATGAATCAGTTCATAGCTAGAAAATGAACGACTATTATGATAATCAACAGTCATTTTTCAAGCAAAAAATGCCAAAATTCACCAGTTTGGACTGCTCAGTTGCTGTTTATTTATTGCTGCTTATTGTTGTCTTTTATGATAAAACTATCTTTGGGTCTTGGACAGTTGGTCTTAATTTCTTTTGTCCAGCCATTTCAGAAAATGGTCATGTATTTTCAGATATTTTACATACAAAACAAGTATATATAATAATCAGGATTCACTCTGAGGTCCATGAATATCTGTACCTAAGTTTGTGGCAATCCATTCAGTAATATTTCACCAAAACAAAAAAATGTAATTTTCTGGGGACCATGAAGCATCGAAATCTTTTATGAGAGATTTTCATCTGGGCCAGAGTATTTGTACCGACAGCTAATATAGACTGCCATGCCAGTAGTGTGGCTGAAGTCTCATCAGGGATGACAGTGTGGAAACGGGGGTTGGCGTACTTCACATTAAAGTTCGACTGGAGTGATTCATTTGGTCTGATCTGATAAATCCAGCACAAGTATCTGGATCAATAGGCTTTTTTTGGCTGCTTGTTTCCTTTAAAGTAGATGAGTTACCCTTTGCATTCCTCACATGGTTGGTGAAGCCCTGATGAGTCACCATCTTCATAATAAGTTTTTTCTTCATTCAAGCTGCACTACTGCATGTTTTCATAAAACTAGACTAAGTGTCATGGATATAGCCTGAATCTGTTGAGGTTTTATATGCTTGGTGATTTTGCACATAGCACATTAGTCTCCAAAGGTAATGCTTCATTGTAAGGTCAGGTCAGTTCAGCGCACACAGGCTTTTTGTTGTTGTTTTTGTTTCATTGCTTCTGTCTGAATTGTCAGCATGAACAAAACATAGAAGTTAAAAGTGCAGACTGAAGGGAAAAGGTGTCACAGTAGTGCAGAGTACGTTTTTGACAACTGTGATGGAGTAAATATTTCATGAAATACATTATAGCTCCTAATAGTTTAGTTTGCCTGGTTCTTTCCCCCAGAGCTATGAAAAAAGCTTGACTGTTGGTTATGTTGGAAACACCACATTAGACATGAAGGACCCTTGTTTAAAGGTCAGCGCTACTTCAAACCTCAACTGGAGTTAGCCTGTTTGGAGAACAGTATCCTCCTGTAAAGGTCGGTATAATGGTTAACATTTTTATGCATTTTAGGTGCTTGGCTGACATTCTTATCAAGAGTAATTTACAACCAGAAGGCAGGAAGCAGTGTTTCACTCAAGGACACATGGCTGTTGACACACATCGACTTGCATGGATCAAACACAAACCTTCCCTTAACAAAGTAGGCGGCACAATTTTAATTTACAGGAAGAAAATGCACTGGCATAAAAGGCATGCATCTTCAATTTATATTCTTTGTATAGTCTTTTTGATTGTTTTTATTTAATCTGTTTTTGTTGTTTGTATGTGCAAGTAAAAACACAAACAATATAAATAAAATGTTAGTAATGGGGTGTTTTATACAAACACATCCTGCATATATGTACTCACAAGTACGCATCCCTACATACTGTATGTGGCTTAGGGATAAAAACTACCAATACAACCAGTGTTTTGTTATTTTGTTACCACAGTCCTGTTTCAGCTGCAGCTAACTGATGTTGAGATGTTTGTTTTTTCTAGTACGTTACACCGATGTCCTGTTTCTGTCATTACATTGATTTTATTCCATTTTTCACCCTTCGGTCTCATTTATCTCATTCGCCTATAGGAACTGGGGAAAGTGGGAAGAGCACTTTCATCAAACAGTTGAGGATCATTCATGGTAGTGGATACACTGAAGCTGACAGGAAAGGTTTCACCCAGCTGGTGTTTCAGAACATCATCACAGCCATCCAGATGCTGATTGATGCCATGCGCACTCTACAGATCGACTACGTCGACGTCAAGAACGCTGTGAGAAACTGTAGTTTTTTCTTTATTAAGGCAGTATTGATGTCTTCTGCATATAAAGCTCAGTGTGTCAGTGACAGGATAACATAACTATAGAGCCATGCTTGAGGCTTTGAGCTAAATGATAATGTTACCATGTTAGCATTCTCACTATGACAATAGACCTGTAGTGCCAAAGCAATTACAGTTCATCCTGAGGGGGATATGAATGTCTGTACGAAACTGGTGATCAGTGCAGTTGTTTAGATATGACAGGTGGTCACACCAACCAGAATTCCATGTTTAGGGTTTTGTTGGTGTCCACAAAATCCATCTCGTTCTAGATGGAATTCTGTTGCAGTTCTCGCCTAATGAGCGTCTGCTTACTGTATAGGTCAATCAAAGATTCAAAATTTGTGTTTAGAATAAAAAAAAAAAAATCCCCTGTGGATGTTTTGTGTGTGTCAGAGCCACGCAGAGAAACTGAGCCAAGTGGAGACAGACCAGGTGTCTGTTTTGGAGGCCTGGCAGGCGGACGCCATTAGGGAAGTGTGGAATGACCACGGCGTTCAAAGGTGCTACGACCGCAGGAGGGAATTCCAGTTATCTGACTCTGCCAAATAGTAAGACTTTACATTTCATATCAGATCATTTGCAGAGCTCTTCTAGAGAGCTAAAGCTTTTTGCATTCATCAGTTCATATTTAAGAGTTATGAATTCACATCGAATGAAACTTGAAAATGTAACAGTGCAAATTTCTGTGTGATATTCCCTTAAAATTTGTGTCAGAATATTTAAACTGGATGAATTTTTAACCTTTCAGTTACCTGAGCGACATCGACAGAATCACAGCCCCGTTATACATCCCCACACTGCAGGACATCTTGAGGGTCCGGGTGCCCACCACAGGCATCATCGAGTACCCCTTCAACCTGTCAAAAGTTATCTTCAGGTAGCACTTTATTATTTCAGAAATATTTTTTCAGGTTTTCTAACTAGAACAACACACAAATAAGAATTCCTCACCCAGCAGTGACCTCAAATCCATGAATTTCCTTCTATGTCTCTGATGTTTTGAAACATTAATTTGGGGATTTGGTGAAATGATATGGCATTTTGGCAAATTCATAGAGTTAATTTCTCAAAGCAATAGTTTTGGGAATGTGCTGATTCACTTTTTTGCCGAGACTGAGATGAGAAGATTGATACTCCTCTGATGTCTGTACACTAAACGTGAAGCTTGTGTCAGCAGCCTAGCTTAGCATAAAGACTGGGAAAAGGCTAGCATGGTTCAGTCCAAAAAGTCCCTTCACTGCCAAACTCACTCAACAAGCCTTCTATTCCTACACCAACAAAACATTTTAAAGTCTACACTGTTAATTTTCCATGGTATGAGATTATCATTGTGCAACAAGCTGATTATTTCTAATTTATATCACTGATAAAATATATTTTGCATAGTTGGATTAAAGATGTTTTAATTCTTGTTTGCTAATCAGATTCTAAACCAACAAAGCAAATACCAGCTGGTGCAGTGACCGTGATCGTATCAGGGTTCTCACAATTTTTCACCATAAAAACATCAAGCTAATGTTTCTGCTGCTAGTTGAGCCCATATCACTGTGGATTTGTGTTCTTAGCTTTCTCCTAGCTTTTTCCACTTGTATTTCCTACAAGCAACAATAGCAACTGCAAATCAGTACAATAAATAAAAATGTAAAGGGAATGAACGACAAAATAGTGGGTTTTATATTGTCAGCAAAACCACAGGTTGTTGTTTTTACACTTTTGTTTGTTTGATTATGGGCAGTCTAGCTGTTCCCCCGTTTCAATATTCATGTTAAGATAAGGTTTGTCTTAATATTTAGTGTACAGGTATGAGAGTGGTAACGATCATCTCCAACTCTTGGTACCTTTTTTCTTTTTTATAATCTTGGAGCTTTTGTTCCAGTTTTACTAAGTCAGTGGTCATGTGTCTGTAGGATGGTGGATGTCGGCGGTCAGCGTTCAGAAAGGAGGAAATGGATCCACTGTTTTGAGAACGTCACCTCCATCATTTTCCTGGCAGCCCTCAGCGAGTATGATCAGGTCCTGTATGAAAATGCAGATGATGTAAGCTCATGAACCGTTCAGTCTTCTTCTGACATGGCTATAGTTGTAACCAATACCTATTTACTTACTCACCAACTTTAAAAATATTTCCGTTTATTGAGTATTGTTCAGGTGACCGTTTCCTGTTGTTTAAGATGATCTTCCTTCTCCTCTAGAATCGACTGAAAGAGAGCCTCGCCTTGTTCCACACCATCCTCTCATACTCTTGGTTTCAAGAATCCTCTACCATCCTCTTCCTGAACAAAACAGACTTGCTAGAGGAGAAAATCACACAGTCTCATCTGGCAACCTACTTCCCAGCCTATAAAGGTAAACCATGTGGTCTCTCTTTGCTGTGCATGTGTTAAAACAGCATTCATAGCTACCGTATGCCCGAAATAACTCATCATTAAAAGCTGAGTCCACAGATACAAAATAATCTGCAGCTATTTTGATAATCTATTAATGTTTTGTTATTTTTCACTCTGAATGCCAAATATTTGCTTGTTCTCGCTCTTTCATTGCGATGATTTGCTGCTTGAAGTCTATTTCACATCATTTTAAATACCTTTGTGTTTTTGATCAAACCATTTTATTTACAGATTTGATACAATTTGTGCCTTTTAAAATGAATTGAGAAAATTATGGGCAGATTAAACAAAAATGAAACTACTACAGTGGAGCAAAGTATTGTCCATGATATGTGCATGTCTGAACTTTCACTTTTAATGAAAACTATGGAGTAAACTATGGTCTGTTATACCAGGAGTAGTGCAGAACCATGTGATTTTGGGCATTGCCCATTTGATATTACACAGATTCATCCTGATTTTGACCCCTTTGCCCCCCCACAGGACCTCAGTGTGATGCTGAATCTGCAAAAAAGTTCATCTTGAAAATGTACATTGAGCAGCACAGTGGGCATCAGAAACCCCTTTACACACACTTTACCTGCGCCACGGACACAGAGAACATCCGAGTCGTCTTCAAAGCCGTCCGAGATACACTGTTCAGGGAAAACCTTGAAAAGTTCAACTTGGAATAAGTAGGACAATATGATGCTTCCACTCTTAGGAACAAGAAGCTCCTCACATGTTGTAACACTCTTATGGACATTTTATCAGTTGTGCTGTCGTGCACTGAGACAGCGGTGTCAAGTAAGGCATTCATCTCAGCATCAAGTACCATTTGTTTGCATCACCATGATTCATAAAAGGTTCAAATGTTTTCTGTTGCTACGGGACAGAAATTGAAAACTGCAGGGTCAGATGACTGAGCTATTGGAGACTGGCTCCTTTTATTTCATTCGTTTAACAAAGCATTAGCAAATGTCATCAAACTGGTTTCGCAAAGTCTTGCTGAACAGAAATGCAGGTTAGCCTACTCACAGCTCTGTGAGGAGGGGTCGAAAGTTAATCTGCAGGGTGTTATCAAGGCTAATGATTTTATGTGTACAACAACTATGGAGTCTATGATATCGCTTTCATGAATTTTAACTAAATATAAATATTTAAACCACATGTAATGTTTTTTAAACAAACTCTGTTGTGTGCCATTCTTTATCTTATTTATGTATCCATCTATCTCTCTATGTTTACTCTCTCTGCCCATATGTATAGATAGAAATGTGTGTATAGAAAGAGAGAGGGAAACAAATTTATGGTCCAGATATATGACAGCAGCTGCATGACACTGATTAACCAGAATGTTTCTGGACGTCACTTCTCTGTGCTCAGGCTCCAGGAGTGGCCACACTGATTGACTTGCTGTGACAGCAACCTTTGTGCCATACAATGGTGAGCAATTTGCAAAGCTTTGTCTAACTGTTGGGACTGAATAGTGGTAAGTGAAGAGGTTCTCGGCGAGGGTAGACCTGTGGACAGAACAATGCAGACACAGTCTAGGGTGCTATTGATCTTTATCTGCTTTGTGTCTATAGTTTACTTGTTTAAGGACTGGTAAGTTCAGTGCTAGTGCAGAACATAGCACATGCATTTGAAGTTGCTTTATGACCAGTCAAAGGGTAAGCATCAAATATTTGCTGTGGATCAGTCACTGTGCTCTTACCGGTATGTGATAAAGCATGTGACTACTATCATCACAAGCTGCTAATGTTCTCAATTCTGATTGTTATTGCTCTTTTTTTTTTTTTTTTACCCTGAGGACTAGTAAAGTCTCCTAACTGCACTACCTCTGTGGGTAGTAATAATTCAAGATCAAAGATTTTTATTGTCAATTCACTATATGTGCAGGACATACAGAAAACCGAAATACCATTCCGCTCTCACCTAGTAGTGAATGCCATACTATTTAGGAAACTAAAAATAGAATAAAAGTAGAGTTATAATAGAATAATAAGAACAACAGTCAGACTTTGTTCCCTCCTGCTGAGGCAAATAATGACATACAAACACACCCTCCTATATCCTCATTCAGCTGTTGTAGCAGGTGATCACCCTTATTTGGTAGTGGCCCAGATCATGTGACCACAAAATGGTGGAAGCTGTGAACTGTTTGTAACCAAGACATCTCCACCGACAGACTGGGAGCAGGAAATAGGCTGTGAACTTGGAAGTGCATTCATGCTCTGAGACGCAGGACGACAGAGATTCCTGAGCCCCGGCAGTGGTGAGTAAATGGCTTTTATTCTGGTAAAGAGAAGAGACGGGGATATGTTTATTTTTCACAGCCAGCAGACAGGAAGAGAGAGAGAGGAAGGGAGGAGTTGCTGCCGTCAGCACTGTGGTCCTGTGCTGCTCTGTGGAAGTGGCTCTGAAGCAGCAGCATCCTCCATGGAAGATGCTCATAACAGCTGATGGTGATTTTATCATTCTGCAGGGTGGGAGTGTGCGTCAGTGTGTTTATTTTCTCTGTGGTTGTGTTTGTACAGACTGTAAATTCTGTGAATTGTTAGCATGACTGTCATCTCCAGGATATAGTACTCAACCATTCAGCATTTTTCCTTTGCGGCTGCTAATGTAATCATATTGTATCTATTGAGGAGTGTGTTTTTTTTTTCTTTCAATGCAAATGAGCATGTGACTCACTGTGAATTTGCATCCCTATTCAGTTTGTGCTCGGGCAAGCGTGCTGTATCACTACAAAAGGACAACAAGGAGAGGAATGAGCTTGTTTCCTCCCCCTCCTCCAGTTTGAATGGAAGGATTGTTCACAGTAGAAGATGACCTTTAACCTCAATCCTTCTCATATCCCTCTTCACTTGCCATCATACTCCTCCTGTTCTTTAATAAATAGGGAAATCCACTGCATGTTAAATATAGGACTTTTGAGGCTGATACTAGTTAATTTTGGGCAGTTTTACAGGTCTAATAAAGGTAGCTCCCTTAGATTTCCTTCTATTCATTATCTATACCGCTTATCCTGTAGAGGGTTGCAGGCGGGATCACTGGAGCCAATTCCAGTTGAGAGTGGGGCAACAGTGCTAACCAGTGTGCCACCCCGTTAGGTTTATTTTAAAGAATCGTGACAAAGATGCTAAAGTTTCTCTCTCTCTCATTGGACAAAAACGTGTAAAGGTGACGCTGTAAACTATCTCAAACCAACTGTAGTTTCGCATTTCTGAACTACAAGTTCTTGTTTGTTATTGGCTGATGTGTAAACCAACACAAAATATCAGCAATAAGTTAATATTGGCTGATATATGGGTCTAACTCCCCTCCCCTCATGGTGAGTGTGTGGATCTCTGTGATACAGCCAGGGCACTACCATGATTGTATATAGCTATGTATGTGCAGATACATCTAAAACAAAAAGATCAAATAGGAGAATCATTGGGTTTTTATTTTATAACAGTTTATATAGACTATTTCATAAAAGAGAGTCTACTCAAAGTATCAGTGATGTAATATACCAATATTTTACATCAAGTGGGGGGCAACTGTGGTTCAGGGGATAGAGCGGTTGTCTCCCATCTGGGGAGTTGGCGGTTCGCCTGCAGTCCACGTGTCGAAGTGTCCTTGGGAAAGACACTGAACCCCCAAGTTGCCCCTGATGGTTAGAGCCATCGGTGTGAGTTGGTGCCGCAGATGGCTGCCTCGGTTCTGTACCGGAAACAAATTGCTTGTGTGTAACATACTTGGCCAAATAAAGGTGATTATTATAATAAATAAGAGTTGTGCATTGAAAATATCACTATGGCCCCTGTGAGTCTTGTATTATTGTGTACTGTTGGATTGTTATTGCTGACACTGTGGGTGAGTAGTAAATGTACAGTTGTAGCTTGTTGAGGAGGAGCTGTGCTTTTAACTGTTGGGTGTTTTAATCTGTAACGGTGTATCATGTTTTATAAAGTCATGTTATGTAAAATGTTAACGTGTGAAGTAGAAAAAAGTGTCATGGATGTTTTATTTGGTTTTGACAAGTAGGTTTTAAGTTTGGCATAAGCTGAAGTTTTAATATTTATTACCTACAATAGACCTGATGAATTTTCACATACTGTCCATCTAATAACAGATCTACCTAATAATATGATTGTCCTTTCTAATAGGTCCTCCTGGGGATGGACCTGGCATCAGAGAGTGAAATGAACTCTGAGGGCGAAGGCAGGCCAGGTGAGTATCAACCAACCACTGCCCAGATTCAAAGCAGGCCACATTTATTCAGAGGAAATATAATGAATTTGTTTTCGACATCTCAAAGACCAGCATGGCCCAAGCGAATCAATTTTTATTTACCATGTTTCCTAGTCCCTCCGGCCTCTCTACCCCTGCAAGGAGGTCCCACCCAAAGAAAAAAGCTGTCTGCTCCTCGTATTAGCCTGTCACTGGACCAGAGCGAGGACGACTTGGGTGACACGCCAGATGATCTCGACATTAACGTGGATGATCTCGACACTCCAGATGAGGGGGATTACCTTGACTACACCGACCATGAAATGGACTGGGAAGGTGGGTCGTTCAGAATACTGTACAGACAATATCAGTTTGTTCCCTCTCAATGATCTTGGAGGAAGTATGATGCACAAAAATGTTTACATAGAGCATGTAAATCCTAAAATTGCTTTGGAGTTGGCATCTTTTCTGACAGTCAGCATTTTCTGGCTCATTTAATGATATAAAACACAGTAAAATGACTTGTCATGATGCATTGTTAAGACAGCCGTATTGTGGCTAATGACATGTTTTATATTGTAATTCTGCAAACCACAGAGGTTGACTATGAAATTGTCTCTTTTTCCACGGAAGACATTTTGACACGTTACAAGTGTAAATAATAAAATTAATGAAAGCTGAATTCCATTTAGCTGCTTCAGTGTCAGGGTCCCGTTGTTGTGCATCCTGGCTCTCTGTCACACTGCCAAGGCTTCCTGAGATGCTTGAATAGAGCAGAGGAATAATTAATGTTGTTCATAACACCTGTGCTTTTCCTACCAGGACAAATCGGTGTCTTCTGTGAAAAAAGGCTTATAGCAGAGTATTCGGTCGCTTGTCATTTCAGACCCCGGTGCAGCCAGTAGGAGTGGGACAGGTGAGCCTTATGATCCAATCCCGACATACAGCGCTGAAGAGGAGCGCCAAGATGGCAAGCTGTGGAGGACGGTCATCATCGGGGAGCAAGAACATCGTATCAACATGAAGCTCATCGAGCCCTACATGAAAGTCGTCTCCCATGGAGGTGACTATTAAAGAGCTAATTCATCATCATAACTACAGATATTAGGCTACATTGTGTCCGTCTGGAAATTTACCTGTTTTTACAAAACCAAAACTTTTTTTACCATTGTTAACCTCACCGTCCAGTTACCTAAAACAAAGGTTCACATTTTTGTCTTTAAACAACTAAATACTTAGAGCAACTACCCTTCAGAACAGCTGAGAAAGAGTTCCAGACTTTTTTTTACCCCCAGTTTTCACATCTCAGCAAACATACAGGCCTGTCTCGATGGTGGCAGCTTACATTAATCAGGGTTAGGGGGAAAGTACTTTCTTTGCATTTTGTTTTAAAAATTGACATACTCTAAGCAGTTTTATTTGCAGATGTCCCAAACTAATACAGTAAAGGCCTTTAGACTGCATTTTTTGTACAGAACCAGGAGTATGGAGTTTGTCCCCAGTCAGTGTTAGAAAAAGATCTCTATTTGACCAGGAGGGACAGTTACAACTTCCATGGTTATCACAGAGGGATGTCTCTTCATACAAAACGCAGTGGACACTTTTATGTCCTTTTTTTTCATGAGTCTTCTGCACAAAGGGATCCGGGCTGAATATTGATGAAGTGGCCACTTGGCAATAACATGCTTGGTGTGTTTGATCAGTGGTGGCTGCTGTTATTCAAAACAACTCGTAGAGAGATGACAAATGAAAGGGAAAACATGCTTTCATACAGGGTACAGAGCTCACTGAATGGGTTGAGTATGAAAATGATGTGAACTGTACAGCCTGTAACTCTCACATTTACCAGATCTCAAAACACCGGGGTTGCACCTAACACTTGTTTTTGCTATCATTTGATCTCTTAATAACCCCCTTGATTAAGCTATAACATATAAGTAGATGAAAATAATGCCCTAAAGCCCAGAGTGTGGTTTGTTTTTTGTCCTAATGGGACAAACTAACAATCTAAAACCCAAAGACACTGACTCGACTAGCAGTAAGACAAATAAAAGCTTCAGATCATCCAACTGGAGAAGCTAAAAACTGGGAAATGGGCAGCGTTTTTGCTTGAAAAAAAAGTTTGAGTATTGAAATACTTAATTTTTCTGTCAGTTATCTAATCAATCACAGTAATTGACTACAAAACACCAAACAAAGGAATACTGTATCTACTGGGGGAACAGCACTGCTCCATACACTTTGAGAATATTTGTCAGGGAGTTTCGAAGCTAATCTGAACAGCTTGTAGTTTTTTTTTTTTTTTTCCCCTCACCCAGCTCTAGTACAGTTGCATTAAGACTGCTGGAGGACCTGGGTTAAATTGAGACCAGACATGGAGTCACGCCACATTGATTTCCCAGACAGGGGCCCTGTTTCTCTCGTCCTTCTCTGTGGGGCCCCCAGAGCCGAGGGCTAGCACCCTAGTAGGCCTGTGCCTTAAGAAAGCACTGACCTTATTACCATTATTGTTGGAAACCGAACCCATAGTAGGCAGTGCGTTTTCCTCCCACTGTGCCTGTGCTGTGGGCTTAAGTGAAACACAGCCTTCCCTCGAAAATGGAGACGTCTGTCACTGATCAGTCAATATCGCAAGCTCTGTCGTTTAGATAAAAGACCCACTGTTTGAGTGACACCAAATCTGGTGGTGAATGGGTTCATGAATAAAAGGAAATTACATTAATCTTGTGTGAGGAAACAGTCAGTCAAACAAAAGAGACAGACTGGCACAAATACAACAAAAAGGAGTAAAATGGAGCAATAAAATGGTAAACTGTGCTAATTAAATCTAAACTCATCAATTTATGTATGAAATGTATTTAATTTCCCCCCCAAGGCTACTATGGAAACGGAGTGAATGCCATCATAGTGTTTGCTGCCTGTTTCCTGCCAGACAGCGACAGAGAGGACTACCATGAAATAATGGAGAACCTCTTTCTGTGAGTACTACAGTACCTTGACTGACACTTACTTTTTCAGTAAGCCACACACTGGTACACTCTAATATTCAGTCGCTCATCAATTCAGACTCATCCAATATTTTTAATTTGAAAAGTGGTTACTAACAGAGTCGTCTTTAAACAGTCTGACAAAGTGATATTCAGACCTGATGATGTGCTAGATGAAGACTTAAATGATTTTAAGTGATTTATAATTCATGGTGTGTGATGTGAATATAAAATTTCATGTCAGTCCATTCGCAGTTGTTGAGAAAGCTTTGTTCAAAACAACAAATTTCAACCTGATGATACAGAGAAGTCAAGGGATCCCAAATTCAGTAGGATGACTACTCTGAGGATGAAATCACGAATCTGAGTTTTCATCTAGCGTCATCATGAGGTTGACATTTTTGGATTTTAATTCTGACAGTAAAAACATCCAAATACCTGCAAAACAGATGACATTCCTATCAGCCTCAGTGGAACATTTTGTTAATTAGCAAATGTTTACATACAAAAACACTAAACTTTGATGGTCTGCACAGTATTAGCATGCTACTGTAGCTTTAAGATTTTGTTGAATTGATACAAAACCAATATAAAAGATAAATAGTGCATTTTATTCTGAAAATATATTTAGCAAATTGAGGATGCTGCATAGTTGTTTCAATGTTCTGCACACTTCCAAGGAAAGCTTTCTAAATGGACAGAAATGAAGTGATTATCTAGCTTATTTGCTGAGACATCTTGTTTTGAGATCTTCACTGGTGTTTTGGCACAGTTGCTTTTCATGCCTGGACAGTGTGGTCGAGATCCCGCAGACTGTTCTGTGGAAGATATTAAGTAAGCTGGCATATCTGAGAGTTTTAGATGGAAATGAAAGGAGGTAAAATGCAGTATCTGCAGTTTCTGCTGCCAGATGGCCTGAGGTCTGAATCCTTGCAAGAAGGAGTAACTATAGTTGGGTGGTGAATAGTATTCAGCTTGATGTCAGTGAGCGATGATCACAGTAGTCATGAGAAACAGTGGATCAGCTGTGTTGGTTTATAAGCTAGAGAATGGAATTGGAACAGGAGGAGAGCAAGTCAGACTGAGCCCAAAGTCATTGAAGTTGGAGGAGGAGTTGAGGAAACTCAAAGGGCTATGGTAGCTGGGGATACTGACAACTTTATTTTTCAAAGGAGGTGACGAAGTTCCCTGCTGATCGAGGAGAAGGGGAAAGTGGGGGGTGTTGAATCTGAGGAGAGAAATGAGACAGTTTCAGAGACAGGGAGGGAAATCTGGATTTTAGAACAGCATTTTATTTTGTGCATCAAAGCAAAACAGCTCATCCTTAAAGCCAGTTCTTGTATGCGACATCAGATGGTAAACGTTTTTTTTTTTTTGAAGCTGCAGTAGATTGAACCATTTTGGCATATGTTAAAGAAACTGTGACTTTTTTTCCCTCTCTCTCTTTTGGTATTTTGCAGATTGGAAAACATGGTTATGGAACAAATGTGTTTTTGCAAGTGTAATGATAAAGTGAGAAGTTATAGATTTGATGTTATTCAACACACTGTTGTCCAAGTTGATCAACACACTAGTTAATGGCTTTGTTACAGTACTTTAGTGTTTGTCATTGCAGTATTGTATTTCTAGAGCCGAGTATCATTAAAACAGAGCTTTAAAACTTTTTAGCCAAGTTAGTTGTGTGGCTCCAGGGACTGCAGTGTCCATGTGTCAGTCGCTCCACTACTTTGGTCCAAACTGGTATATTTCTATGAAACTGTGTACAGATATTCATGTTCCCCAGGGGATGAGCTCTACTAACTCTGGTGATCTCGGACTGGTCCCTTAGAACCATGATGATATGTATTGTCAGGAAATTTTATACATTAATAGTAAAAAATGCCCCTTAATTGTAATAAATGTGGTGGTTCCCTGAATTTCAGTCTTGCGTCAGGTCAAACCTTTTAATTGGTCTACAGCATTATTTGGGACCAAATACCTAATGACATACTCATCAGCTTCAGCTGTAATTGGCACTAATTAGTAAATGGTAGCATGCTGGCAGGTTATCATAGTGAGCATGTTGACACTAGCAGTGTATTGCTGTGCCAAAATACAATGCTAGCATGACTGTAGACCTTCATCTCTACCTACTAGTTTATATTTCAGTGCAGAAAAATACAATTTTACCAGTTTCTCATGTATATGTATTAATCCAGGAAAAAAAAAAATATTTTTTACCTCTTCCCAGTCAGTTTTTTAGTATATGTATGTGTGTCTCTCTTTTACTTAGCTATGTGATCAGCACCCTGGAGCTGATGGTGGCAGAGGACTACATGATCGTGTACCTGAATGGAGCCACACCCCACAGAAGAATGCCTGGTCTTGGTTGGCTAAAGAAGTGCTATCAGATGATTGACAGAAGGTCTGGCCCTTTCACTTACACTTAATAGTGTTATTTTGTGACCGACAATGGTAGCAATGTTTGACTTTCAAAACAATCGCAGCTCTTTTGCCTGAAAAGTATTTGAACTCCAACATGGGCATAAAGACACTTAACATGCATGTATTGTATTGTCTTTAGGCTCAGGAAGAATTTGAAATCCTTCATTATTCTGCATCCATCATGGTTTATAAGGACCATTCTAGCCGTTACCAAGCCCTTCATCAGGTAAACATTTTTAGCATTGTTCTAGGGATTGTGGGGATTTGGTAATCCTTGTGGACAAGGATTATTGAATTTTAAGGTGACAACTTGATTTAAGGTAAAGTTACACTTTTGGTTTAAAGGATAAGACAAACCATTTTCTATATTAAGTCCCCATACAGAGACTAAAAACAATGATTTGCCTCTCTACTCATGATTAATGTCTGTCAGAACTGGATTATTTTACTCCATAGACCTCCATTGCTGTTCAAAAACAATTTTAAACACATCACACTGCATTGTTTCACATACCACATCCTGATATTTAAAAAAAAAAGTTGCCCTAAACACTCAGAACGGCCCTAAGTTTTTACAGCAGATGAAGTAAGCAAGAATCACGGGCCCAGGCACAAGAGCTCTGGATTTCCTTAATGAATATCACAGCCTTGTGTTTAATATTGAGGAAATAAGTCATTAAGGGGGGCAGTGTGCTTCCCTCATGTGTTTTTAAGCATGAATGGAGGTCTATGATGCAGATGTATCAGCTAATCATGAGTAGAGGCAAACCACTGTTGGTTTTAGTCTGTGCAATCTCTGGAACCATCTGTCTCTGTATGGACAGTGTTGAAAATACCATTAACATAGGAAATGACTGGCCTTTTCCTTTAAGGTTATGATAGTGGTTGATTAACGTCAGGTGAGGACAAGTCTCAAATGAATGGAAGTCGTAACGTCCCCACCTGTTTGTGCTTATATAAACATGCCAATCACTGCATTTGTGTGTACGTGTTATTCTTGTCATAGCGCCAAGTTCAGCAGTAAGATTAAGTTTGTGAACAGTCTGGATGAGCTGCAGGAACTCATCCCCATGGAATACATCCAGATCCCAGAGTGCATCGTTAGGTGAGTCTCTCTAAGCCCCCAAACACCACCCCAACTTCCTCCAACCCTGAACTGTCTTTTTAAAGGACTATGTTCCTCTTACCATTTGAACTTCTGTCACCTCTAGACTTGACAAAGACCTGAAGGAAGCAGCTGAGAACTCAAAGTAAGCATGGACTCTCCTGCCCCTCATTACTTCCCTCTGTGGAGGCAGTGGCCCCTGCCATAGTTTAATCCTTTGCTGGAGCACTCGTTTATCAGTTGGCTTAGTCTTAGATCAGTGGGATTGTTCTGCTGGATGAGGACCAAGTGGATTTCACTATTGGTAAAATTGCAGGAAGGAGATGGGGAAAAAAAAAGGGTTCTGAAAATACTAAATGCGTTGCTTTCAACTAATTTATCATTGCAGTAAAGTAAATGAGACAGTCCTCTACTGCAGTGATCTACTACACTGATAAATGTAGGGACAAAGCTATAGACGTCGCACACTAATCTTTTGCTGGCTAATTGTGCACTGAATCATGAGCAGTATATGTCTTCAAATACACAATATACCAGCACATTACAACGATAAATCCTGCTCTAACAACCTCTCCATTTTTTTTTCTTCTATTCAAGAGTGAATAGTTTTCTGCAGGGACCAGAGCCAACAGCAGCAGCCAGAACATAGTAAGTCCTCTAAGACGTTTACACTCACACATGGAAGAGAAATGGCTTTGTGTCACCAACCTGTGGCCCATACACAAATACACCCACCTTTAATGTCTCCGTTTTGTTCTTTTGTCTTCCCAGCGGAGCAGACTCAGCCAGTGCCAGCAGCTCTTAACCACAATCATCCTAAAAGAATGGGTCACCATGTTGTTCAGAAGTCACTGGAAAGCAGAGGCACAGGCTCGTAAAGCTAATATATGTGTGTGTGTCTGTGTTTGTCAATTAGAAGCTGAAGTTTAATATAAAAACTTATTATAGTACCTGTTAACACTCAGATCTCATTCCTTTTAGCTGCTGTAGCATCTACTGTACTATAACGCCTGCAATCATGCAGGAACTATATAGCCAAGTGTGATGCTTGGCAGCACCTACAGAGGAGCATCAGCGTTCACAGTAGGATAGGAAATGCAGTTATACACCAGACAGTGCGCTGCACAAATCCATTTGTAAAGTGCTGTATAGTAGTTGTATGCATGACAAGTCGGGAAGCAATAATATCACCCTGTACTGGTTAAACCGTCTCAGTATTTCAGCTAAAGAGACGACATGTGTCAGCAATATACAATAAAAGCACAAGGTGAGGCCAAAAAAACCTTGTGCCAAAAATGACCAACTTGTGCATTTCAGCAATCCAATCTACATTTGTAATACTCATTCTAAGGCTGAGAGCTCCAAAATAGATATTTTAATTATACTGAAACCAAGGAGGAATAAGTTAAATAGAAAATCAGCTCAAAATCACTCTTCAGGTTTTCCTGGCTTAGGATCTCTGTAAAGCACATTTGTGTGTGCATTTGTGCATGTCCCCTGATCACTGACGGCCCTCTTACCCATTAGTCCTACTACTTTGGTGTACTGAGGATGTGTAAAGAAATTATGGATCACTGTAGTAATTCAATAAAATGGACTGAAGTCTGAACTGTTTTCAGTCATTGTTTTCCACTGTCCCATTGGTTAGTTGCAATTTAATTGCTTTGCTGGTGAATGACAAATCAGTTTCCATCACGTAAAGTCAATCCCAGGCAGTTTTTTCTAGACTATTCGAACAGAAGAACACATTTTCAAATTAAAATTCAATGACAGCCAAACACGTATTGAAAAGAAACCAGAATAATTAAATTTAAAATGCAAATACAACACCACAACAATGCAAAAAGAGATGACATGATTAATAAAACTGTCAAAACCAGTAAATGCCCTTGCTAGATTATGTATGGGACGGCATTGTGCTCCAAAGGAAGTCAGGCTTAATTACTTAAAGTTCCTCAAAAAAGTTAAACATGGAATTTTTCTGCAGCTCATTTCATTTTGCAAATGGACAACAGATCATCTTTAGCTTCTAATAACTGTAACTCATTTTGTTCGACGCCAATGAAGGACAATTGGGTCTGTCCCTCAGGGCAGAAGGAGAAAAACAGCACAGAGGGATGAATAAAAGCAGGAGGAGAACAGTTTTTTTTTGTTTTATTTTTTTGGAGAAATTCTTTTGCTTCACCGGAATGCGTAGCTCTCGTCATCATACTCCAGCTCATCCTCATCCTCTTCTAGCTGGCCATAGCGGAATTTCCTGTACACTGTGCCATCCTGGCCCATGTAAACAATGTCCTCATCATCGTCATCATCATCATCTTCATTCTTAATCCCTGTGTGACGCACTCCAATGTCAACCAACTGATCCTCCTGGAAGGAGGAGGTGGTGCGGCCGCTGTAAATTGCAGATGATGCAGAGCTGTAGCCGCTATATCTGCTGCCACCTCCATATCCCCTACCAGAGCCAAGCTTCTCGTAGCCATGAGGAGGGATGTCCGGTGGTGCACTCTTGGAGCGGGAGTGTCTAATGAGGAAGACGACAGCCACCAGTCCCAGTGCCAGCAGAATGCAAGCGATGATGAAGATTATAAGGTTACCTCTGGCCTCTTCTTCCTCATTATTCCTGAATGCCAAGTTGGTGCTGAGAACACACTCTCCTAGAAATCCCACAAAGACAAAATGATTAGACAGATTTCCTAGTGTACTGTCCCTGTTAAAGGATAGATTCAGGATTTTTCAAGTTGGTCTTAAAACAGTGACATGTTCATATGTACATGAGAAGAGGCCTGAAGGTGATTCCCTTATGTTATCTTTCCTTAATTTTCACTTGGCCCAGAAGTCATTCCAGGCTGCCATGATGAAGGACGTCCCAAAAGCTCTTATTACTGCTCTGAGGAGTGAGGAGGCTGCCTGTAGTAGCTATAACCGAGGATACATGAGTGTATCCTTCACGGTAATCCGTTACAGATTGAAACACCCCTTTTGGAAACCAGTCTGGGATTGGATGAAGGATTGGAAGAAAGGACGTCACGTGAATTAAAATGCGTTCCCTTTCTCCTTGCAGTTTCCTCTTGTCTTTTCCCAGCATCTTACATAGGTGGGACTAAGACGAGGAAAAGACAAGTGAAAGAAACACTATTACTGGGGCGACTGTGATTCAGTGGGTAGAGAAAGTGAAAGAAACACTATTACGGGGGCGACTGTGGTTCAGTGGGTAGAGCAGAGAGTTGGCGGTTTGAATCACAGCGCCTGCAGTCCACATGTCGAAGTGTCCTTGGGCAAGACACTGAACTCCCAAGTTGCCCCCGATGGTTAGTCATCGGTGTGAGTTGGCATCGCAGATGGCTGCCTCGGTTCTGTACCAGAAACAAATCCTTTGTGTGTAACATACTTGGCCAAATCAAGGTGATTATCCTTTCCACACTGATCCTGAATCGTTTCACCATCCTGTTTCAAAGTAAGTGTTTGTCATATTAGTTTGTTTCTTAGGCTATTAGTAGCCTAGCCAAAAACAGCTAACGCAGTGTATAGGCTACTTTGGTGTGTGTGTTTGGGGAGGGGTGGTGTGAATTCACCCTTCTGCAGTTGCCATGGCAACCGATGTAGATACATTTTGTGTGTTCTACGGTATTCTTGTGACAAATAGCCTATTTCCATAAAGTAGAAAGCTATATTAAATGGCAATTACTTCATTTGCCAATAGGCTAAATCGTGATTTGTGTATTTTTCCTGGCTGCATTTTAATTTATAAGGCACTCCCTTATTAAAACTGGAAAAATGATACATGGTCAAGATTTTATACTGAAGGCTGAATACATATGCACGCTACACTTTTCAGATTTTTATTTGTATAAAATCTTGGAACACCACATATCATTTTCCTTCCATTTCACAATTACGCGATTCTTTGTGTTGGTCTATCACATAAAATCCCAATAAAATACATTTAAGTTTGTAGTTGTAATGTGACAAAATGTGGAAAAATTCAAAGGGTATGAATACTTTTGCAAGGCACTGTACATGCACCTATCAATCAGGTGACAATGGACTCTGTTCCTACCAGAACATGACAGTAAATAAGCTAAATGACATTTTTCATAAAGTTACACATGGATTTAACATTGCTTATTTCAGATATTTTAGCTACAACAGCCTCTAGGTTAAACAAAGATGGCCTACAAAGATAACATGTCCAACAAAATATAAACTCTAGCCTACATCATTTAGTTGCCTCACATCTGTTTAAATCTAATGAGGAAAACAAGGAACAAAATTAAATACAATGCAGCCAGGAGACGTACTGCCATAGGGAAAATACTCGATTTAGCCGTGTAGGCTACTACCTTGTTAAAATAGATATTTATAGCAATACTGTGGAGCGCACCAAAGTGAAAGTTAAGACATGGTTGTTTACATCTATTGCCATGGCAACTGTAGAGGGGTCCATCGCTCACCTCCACAATTCCCACAAAACACACACAAATAGCCTTTACACTGCGTTGTGGGTTTTAGGCCAGACTATTTGTGATAAAACATTGAGAACTAATATGACAAACTCTTATTTTGAAATAGGATGCAATACCAGTGGAAAGCCCTGCCACCCCCACTTGGGACCAGAAAATAGTTCATTTATATTTTAGTTTTTGTGACCCTACGATGGTCGGGTTCTGGGTGATTCATCTGTCCAAAAAGAAAACACTGGTATTCTCATTTCTCTTACTGTGAGCAGACCACAGTATTTGAGCTAAACTTCAGGTGAAAAACAAAAAAGCCACTTTTTTTTTTTTTTGTTTCAATTTTTGCAGAAAAAGGAGAATTTAAGTCGTTTTCTGATTTTTGGCAGTAAAATGTCCTCGTAGTGGTGAAATCAAACTAAAAATAGTGGCGAATGTCCTCTGGCCCTTTTATGTCACACATTACGCAGTGATGAGACCAGTGCTCCCTACTCAGTGCTCCCTCACAGGCACTTTTAAAATCTGCTGGGAGAGCACAGCGAGGGCGTTCAATTAAGCTGCATTATGGAAAATCCATTTTATTTAAATAAGACGTGAGAAACCTACTGTATACCTCGAGTCTCTGTGCAGTTACAGCACTCCTGCTGCTGTGTTGAGGCTTCCTCCTCCTGACTGCAACAAAGCAGACAGCGCCCTCCAGCTTCTAAGATGGCCTGAGCAGGGCACACAGTGCAATTGGCAGGACCGGGCCCTTGACACTCCAGACAGGAGTTGTCACAGTCTTCACAATCATGGCCTGAACCCTGATGGACAGGATAAAAGAATGATAATGAAAAATCTACAGTCCCAGGCACACATGTTTGCATTCAAAGATATGCAAAACATTTCTACAAGGAGAGTGATGCACTGACTTTCAGCTTAATCAATTAATATTCATCTACCTGTCAGTTTCAGTAAGTTGCCTCCCAGCAAGAGCTGGGAGATTTATTTTGAAATCATTACACAGTAATAACTTTGACTCTGTTTCTCCTGATGCAGTAATAAATCAGTCTGAATTTCACTGTAAAATACCTGGGGCTGAAACATGAGTAGTGATTATTTCGGTAGAGCAAGAACAGGGTAAAGATTTTCTCTCTAATGAAAAGTTAACATTTATGAAATTAAAACTTGGACAAGCATTGTTACCTTTATTACAGGATACCGGCCTATGTTGCACACAGACTCGCACATGCCATCTGAGAACACGAATCCAGCGTAGCACGAGTCACAGGATTTAGAATCTCTTCCTGCAGATATACGACAACTTCAGCATCAAGTCTGGTGACATTTTATCATTATTGTCCACAAATCCCATGAAAATATTAAAACCAACAATGAACTGATCCTGCCAACAAGAATTCCTTGTAGTCAAGGCCTGATTCATCTGCTGTAGAGCTCCACTGTTGTCATAATACAGTTAAAACATCAGTGAGTCACACTGCTGCACTTAGTGATGTGCTGTGTCAGTACAATGAACACCAGCACACAAAAAATGGGTGAATATTATTCAAAAAATGCACTGCTTAAGTTATTTGCCAATATCTTTGACTAAATTGTTTAAGAATGTTAAAAAAAAAAATTAGAGCTTATGTTTGACTAATTTGTAAAAGTCTTCAATAGGAACCAATGAACCTGGGGCTAACAATAGCTGGGGAAGCCAAAAAGTGTTACACAAACTAACATGCCTGTTAATGCACCTTCCGGCTGGTGATATATTTTAACTAAGATTTTCATGTCTGATAAATCAGTAAACATGGGGCAGGATGTGGTGTGTCCTACCCTGCTACATGACAGTCTTCCACCTATAGCCCCTTCTGCCATTATTCCAATCTTTCTACCGTGTTGTCAGAAAATGGTTAAGAGCAGCTTATGGTGTCCGTTTGTTCTGAGTCTCAATAGACCCTCTAGTAGCAGCGAAGAAATTGGTTAGAGTAGCTTCAAATAAGTTAACTTTAGATAGATGACTGTTCAAATAAATGTCCCTTTATAGCAGGGGTGGCCAATTCCAGTCCTTGAGGGCCACGGTCCTGCTTGTTTTCCGACTATCCCTGCCAGATCTGCTGCTAATTACCTGGCTCAGGTGTGTTCAGCCAGTCTGAAGCTGGAAGATACCATCTTAGATGAAAGTGGAGTGAGGAAAGAAAGTGAATTGGTATCTTCCAGCTTCTGACTGACTGAACACACCCGAGCCAGGTAATCAACAGCAGGTCAGGCAGGGATAGTTGGAAAACAAGCAGGACAGCGGCCTTCGAGGACTGGAATTGGCCACCCCTGCTTTATAGGAAGTACAGTACACATGAGCCCTTACTACAACACAGTCTGAGCTTTCCAAGCAGTTCAGTAACTCTTAACCCTCATGTGAGCTATGTGCACTTGCATGACATTAAAGTGGACACTGGTACCTGAGCATGTTCTGCATCTGGCATGGCAGGGCTCACAGGTGTGGTGCACAAGGTCATGGTAGTATCCCTGAGGGCATGAGGAGAGGCAACGGCCTTCTCTCCGCAGGTAGGTGAGACCCGGAATGCAGCTCAGACAGCTGTCCTCCCCAGGCCCGATGCACTCACCGCAGCTCGGGTCACACTTCTCACACGTCCTTGAGACCGTGTTTCCATAGTGACTACAGACAGACGGTGAGAAAGTTATGACAGGTTAGTTTCAATTAAATAAGATGAGATTAGAGCTTTGTTTGTTCTCAAAGGAAATTCCTCTCCATAGCTCCAACCACAACCCTGACCCACACACAATGATAGAGGGAATGCAGTGATAACAAAACACATGCTATCTTTTGCTACTGTATACGCTGCACTGCTCGCACCCAGGTCTAAAAGTATGAGGGACTTGCATCACAGGAACAAACTGCCTTTATTTTGTTTTGAGTATTTAACTGCGCATCAATTTAACGGAACATTAACTTAACACTCTCAATCAATGCACCCCAAATAAAATCAAGCCTAATTAGCATTTTACAGGCCACATGAAGGGCAATTTAAATCTCAGGCTAAATTGGATTTTCTCCAAACTGCACCCCTGTCCAGCTAACTAAAGAAAAGCAATGGTTCACACAGTGGCATTATGTGACTGGGCTGATCTTTTATTAATGAAGACACAGTGTGACCGCACTTAATGTGATGGATGAGAGGCACAGCTGGACGGTCAGCGGGCTAAACTACCTGTGCTGGCAGGTCTCCACACATTCTTTGCCCTCTTGAAATAGGTGAGCTTTGCAGGCAAGACACTCATGGCTGTGCTTTCCAATGCAGGCATGACAGGAAGGGTGACAGGCTTCACATTTCTGCCCCGACTCATCCTCATAGTAGCCTGCTGGGCATTCATCCACACAAGTGCCATCTGTACCAACAAACACACAATCATGCGGCTACATAAACAAGTTACAGATGCCTGAAGAGCTTTCCTGCACAAGCAGACTTCAGAGAATTCATCAGGACTATAAATACCAAACTCTCTAGGTTTCATCAAGTTAAATTTCAGGCTTTTTTTTTTTTTTTTAGACAAGTGCAAATTGAGATCTATTCAGAATTCAGATATTTTAATGTTGCCATAGACCCAAGAGCTGTCCAGAGGTCACTTACTGGGGCTGCAGGAGTTGTCAACCACTTGCGCACACCACAGTGCAGTGCACTAGCTCAGTATTCTCCAATAAACTGACCAAACTGCAAATGTTCTGGGTTCCAAATGGTTTTTGTTTTGCAGTTTTATTACAATGTGATAAATATGAATTGAGAGAAAAACTACTACATGAAACCAGTGGAGCAAAGGGGTTGCTGCTTAGTCCCCTAAACATTTTCCCAAAAACACATAAAAGCACGACTGAAGTTAACACAACATTACAGACGTCATGTTAAAATTAAACTGAACAACCTAAACACGGTCAATATCAAAATCGTATTTAAGACATGATTGGATTTAAGACTTTAAGAGGACCCGCAGAAAGCCTGCACACTGGACTCACTGAGCAGATGCCGTCTCTGGTTGCAGCTGAGGCAGTGGGTTTTTCCAGGACCTGAACACCTGTGGCAGTATTTGTGACACTGATAGCATTCTCCATCTGCGTCTGCATACTGGTGAGGCAAGCACCTGTTGGCTGATGGTACACAATGGTTGTGGTCATCCAGCCTCCGATCCTCTCTGCAGCTGGTGCAGGAGCCAGAATGGGGGCCAAAGCAGGTGAGGCAGGAAGCATCACATTCTGGAAATACAAGTAAAATGATATCACAGCTGCAGTGACAGTACATGAAGTAGAACCAATATTTTTTCCAACTGGACTTTATCTGCATATGATAAATAATATGGTAATAGTTTATCTGATACAGTAAAAACCCATTATGATAACACACAGTTCTCACCTACTGTGTTCCAACAGTGTGGTCTGTTCTGAAACGTGTTCAGTTCATATGAAAATAAATATCAGATATTCCCTCAAGTCCATTTTGCACTACTTTTCAATGTCTGCAGCACTGTTTTACTGGGAGAAACATGTCATCTGTTTTTGACAAAAACCAGAGCCGTGTTTCTTTCTCAAGGGAACTGTCTTTGGCATCGCTGTTTTGTTTTCAAGGTTTGACAGCTGCTTGTTAACCATCGGAAAAGCACTGCTATTTTTGTCAGAGCTGAAGTCGGGAGCCACTCAAACAGGGTACAGAATATAAGTGAGAAAATGCATGAAGGATGTGATACAGGACAGAAAATACTGCATTAATGAAGAGAAAAAGTTTCAAGAGAAAATGGCAGGAGTTCTGAATCTACTTTGACTTGGTTCTCTCCATGCATCTCAAATGAAGCTATATGCCCTGTATTTGCCATTTTCTCTGTACCTTTACATTCTGCTGATATGGCATCCCTGTAGGTATGGGAGGGGCAGGCTGCCAGACACGCCCCATTGTGCAGAGTCGCCTCAGGGTCCCCACAGGCATCACAGTCATTGTTGTTCGGCCCGTCACACAAAGCGCAGTCAGGGTGGCAATGCAAACACTGCCCTTGCTCTGTGCCCTCGTAGAACCTCTCGGGACACTCTAGCACACACAGGCCCTCATGGAGAAAGTGATACTCCTCACAGCCTGCACAAAAAGCAGCTTTTAGCATTGAATGGAAGAACAATTCAGTACCACTCAGTGAAACTACACTAAGTACCCTAAAGTCTTGAAAAGGAGTAAGGAAGAAGAAAAGCCCCTTCTCTGAATGATGGATTTCACTTGGGCAAAAAAAGATAAATGTAAAAATATACTTAATACACTTGAGTCTCTTTCCTTTTCAGACACAGCCATCTAGACACAGTGGATTTAGTGGACATGTTTGAGAACAAGTCTACAGCCATGCTGGCAGCTCTGTGCCAACTTTACAATGTTAATGTGTTAGCATCCTAACATTTGCTATTTTGCACTACAGATCAAGTACAGCTAAGGCTGATGGGACGGTCATTGCTTTGTAGGTATTTTTGCTGTAACCCAAAGTACCAGACAAAGTGAATTTTTGACCTGCCAGAGATGCAACAAGAAAAGTTTAAACTGCAATAACCAACTGTTTTGGCTAGTTGGGAGCTGCAGAAACAATCTGTGATACATCTACCGCTTTATTAGTTGATATGACAAACAGCTGCTTTACAAATCTGGCAGTTACAAAGCAACAATATCTTTTGTCTGATAACTGTGGCGATAAGGTGCTAAAGGGAAGGTCGGGGGAATGTGCTTGGGATACAGTGTGTGGGAACCATTCATTTCTGTGCAAACGTTCATGCCAATCTATACACCACTTGTTGTGAAATGTAAGTTTGGATCAAAGCAGTTGAAGGACTAAGTCAACAATATCCTCATCTCTGAAGCCAAGCCACAAGCATGGTGAAAAATCACATCAAGCATGTTGGTAATAATGATGCCATCTGAAGAGGACTACAGAGAGGCAAAAACACATTGTGGATTAAACTGAATGAGCTCTAACAACAAAATCTAACATCTCAGCAGTTTGTGTTGTGTTTCAGTACCTGTGCACTCCCCAAGTGGGCTGCACTCCTGACAGGTAGCAGGGCAGTGTTGGCACTCCCCGTCGCGGGCGGTGTGCGGTGGAGGGCACTCTGTTACGCACCGGTGATTGTGTAGGAGGAGAGGTTGTTCACAGGTGAGGCAGTGGGTGGCGTTTCTCCCACAGGATGCACAGCCTGCTGCACAGCTACGACACACCTGGCCCACAGGATAACCCCTGATGAAAGCCAGACGGAGATCAGTGCATGCACAAACAGACAGCATACTGCACTTACACATGTAAACAATGCGTTTCATTGTGTATATTCTGCTCAATACAAATCAGTTGAACTAGGCCACATAAATTAGTAATTCATGGGAAATGCATTATAAGCTGCACAGATATATATACTTTTGTTGCTTTGCTAAAAAATGTAATGGGCTGTCATCAGTGTTTGAAGTAAACAAGAGGACTGACATTTTGCTCTGCTCGACAAGAGAACAACCAATAATTTATCCAGACAACTGTTTAGTACTCAAGTATAGCTAAAAAGCAGTGTAGTAGGTTGTAGTGAAAATAAAATAAAAACTAAAGCACTCATAACCAAAAAGCTAAAATGGTCATCTTAGTGCTAATGGAGCTTCAAGGACGAGATATTTTCAGTCACAAGGATGTCACAATTTAACAGCATATAAACATCAAGCAGGAAACGTCAAAATCCTGGCCAGCAAACACAATCCCTCTGACATTTTGTTTTTGGCTCTTCAGAGAATGTGTGTGATGTTCAAAGGATGCGCTTTCGACATGATGCCAGCAGGGATACATTTCCACTGGTTTTAAAGTGAGGATAATCAATTTCCAGTGTTCAAATGTGTAAAAGACACGTAAAAAACATTTACTTTCAAGCTATAAAAACAAGTGATAGGACCGACTCCAGACCTGACACACTGTTGGACACAGTGTCCATTCTGCAGAAATAACGGAGCTTTGCGAGTGCTCTGACAGCGAGTGCAGTGCTGAGCGTCCACACACTGCAAACAGCCTGGAGGGCAGTTCTCACACACGCCGCTCAGCTGACTGGCAAAGAAACCCCCTGGACACTTTGACACGCATGTTTGCTGTGGGGTCAAAAACTGCCCTGGAGAAAGAAGAAAGAGTAAACATCATGACAGCGGAAGAGCTGGATATCCTGCAGTTTAACTGTGAAAAGATAAAACTGCTGTTGCAGGTCTGAAAGCATGTACCAGCTCCTAATCTACAAAAGGTGCCTTACAGACCTTTGGCACATTTTGTACACTGATCCTTCTCCTCTCCAGAGCAGGACTCACAGGATGGGTCGCAGTCCTTACACTCGCCATCATCTGGAGGAGAAACACAGTGAACATGATGAAGCCACTGGTGAAGCAGTTTCCTCCTGCTTCCAGTCTTGTGCGAAGCCAAGCCAATTGGCTGAGGGTTTCAGCTTTATGTTTAGTGTACAGTTATGAGAGTGGTATTGGGGCTAGTACTTAAACACACTCTTCACAGTCTAAATCAAATGCCAGTTATAAAAGTCCAATGGCATCCTGGAACACTGTGCTAGTCCAGATTTTGTGGGAAGGCTTGAGGCTTTAATCTAATGTTTTGTACTTTCTGAAATTCAAAGTTGAATAAATTTACTTTTGCATGTTCATTTTCAGCCTCTGAATTAACCTATGTACTTTTCACAGAGTTATTTCTGTTCCTATAATTAAGATGTCTTGCCTCCCACTAATTGCCATATGTTGTTTTAAGGTCTGTCCAACTAATTCTTGGGGGAACTAAGTGCTCAGCATATACAATCAATTATTTCAAAGTCCGTATCAGGCCCACATTCAGTAGTTCTGTCTGGTTGGAGTACTTAAGTTGGTACAAGGTTCAGGGCTGGTGGCACACAGACCAATTACCCTCCACAATTTCTTTTTGCCCCTGTGAAAGTGCCCAAATCCCTGATTCATTATGGGCAGATAGCTGGATTAATGGAATACATAAGTATTAGTCTCACCGCTGTGAAAGGTCTTAACAGGACAGACGTCACGGGCAGACACACACTCTCCATTTTCTAGTGTCTCCCCCTCCTCACACGACAGACAGTCGTCGTCCTCGGGGCCGCTACATGTCATACAGTCCGAGTGACATTCCTCACAGTCGTTGGTGTCTTCATCGCCAAAGAAGCCGTCGGGACACACAGAAACACACCTCCCCTCTGAGAAAGAAGAAGTTTCTCCAATCTGTGTGTATGCCACATAGCTGGGCGACTTTCATGTGCTTGTACTTTATTTAAAACAAGATCTCCACTGAGAACAAAACCTTTTAGTTTGAGTATTTCCATCTCCACCTCAACTACAACAGTAAAATGCTGCTTGCATATTAATGCATCAGTGCATTTCTCTAATAGTATTTACATACAGTACTACCTACTACATTTTCAATGCAATACTTTTGCTTAAATAAAGAATCTAAATATCTTCTACAATTGTAAATAATGCTTTCTAATTTAATGTCGTGATCCAGTTGGGCCATTTTACCTGATAAGAAGAGGTCGGTCTCACACCAGTAGCACTCATGTTCATCACAGCTCACACAGTTGTCATCACATGGGACGCAGGTCATGTCCTCCTCCACAATGTACGTCTTAGCTGGGCAGCTTTTGTAGCAGCCATCCTGAAAACTGATAACAAAAGCAGCAGCTGATACCTGTGGTTTCTCCTCACACACACACACACACACACACACACACACACACACACTTTACTCTCACAGCAAAAAGGGCAGTTTTATCCTAGTACCAGAGTAAAGTAAAAGGCAGAGTGAGCAGAGAAGTGAGATCACACATGTTGACAGCGAGGCACACAGCCTTACTTGTAAAAGCCCTCAATGCAGGACAGGCAATGCCTGGGATTATCTGTTGAAAGCAGACAAAGAAACTCAGCTCTCCTTTTAAAAAGGAACTACCCAGAAAAACCCTTGAACATGGTTGTGAACACACTCGAAGGAGAGCTCGGCCTACCGTGGGCACCATTTGTTTTTCTGGGAAACTTTATTATGGCTGCTGTGCCATGACTTACACAAGACGCACTTCTTGCAGCCTTCCTCACAGGCCATGCAGTCATCGTAATCTGGATCCTCCACCTCCCCTGAGGAAAAAAAGGAGAGAGGAGGGGGAGCACCAGAAAAATCAGCAAAAAGGCGAGAGTGAGTGGAGGGTAGACGGGTGTGAGACGATGCTTTGTGTCATTGTGACAACAGAAATACAAGAAAAATTCCTAAATAACGCTGTGACCCGTTTACCTTCACCACACTCCAGCTTCACACACTCTCCATCAGACACGTAGTAGGAGGAGTTACACTTGAGGCAGTAGGCGGGGCTTGTGCAGAGCTGACAGTGGTCCGAGCACGGCTCACAGCTCCTCTCCTTGGTGTGGTAGAAGGCCTCGGGACAGGTATCCAGACACTGACCTTTATACAGGTAACGCTCCATTCCAAACTTATCTGGAGCAACAACAGACAACCACACCGTGAAGACGTGTTCTACAGATCACTAGCTAAACCACGGTTTGTACCACTTGCTGGTCTTGATTATGTTTGGCTTCCTGCAACCAGTAAAACAACTTGATTCTTTATGTCCTGAGTATAAAGAATCTTTCATTAGCTGTTATTTAATTTACTGACACAGAGCAATTCACAGAACATTCAACTCACCATTCATCTACAGTACACTGCAAGTAATTGGTTTAAAAAAAAAACAACAAAAAACCTTTACAGTCGTAGCTCTGAAACCTGTTCTAACCAATATTTCTATATTAACCCATCAAATAACTGTGTGTAAAGTGAAAAAAGGGTCCCTCTTAGCGGTGACCACACATAAAATAAATAAAAAATACACATACAGAGTCTTTTCAGTTCCTCAGAGCTCTCATCTATGGAGCGCTTCAGCATCCTTCAGCTTATTCTTTTGGTTTTTCATCTTGCAGTGTTACCGTTTTTATTCACTCTCACCGATCTCATGAGCATCGCATGCACCAAACACCTACCGCTGTACCTGCCCAGCACCCAACGGCAGAATATAAAAAGTAAACGACTAGCTGGTGAACACAGTGGAGCATTTAGCAGCTACCATTATGAATAAATTGCTATCAACTCCCAAACCCAGTCGTGATAAACCTTAAAATATAGTTGGTTGTCTTTTATGGAGCAGTGCATTTGAAAAATTCATTTTACTTTATTGCAAAACATCACTAAATCAGTAACCAAAATACAGTTTTAGTCTTTTACCAAATTTGCTTCTCGTTACTTTCCCTATAACACACTAGCAAGCACAAACATAGCATGATTTACTTGCTGAGCCCTCACCAGTGTCACAGCTGGTACAGTCAGCAGGCCCAGCATCTACACAGCTGGCACAGGTGTGGTCACACAAGTAACACTGGCCACCTGACTGGTACTTAGCCTTGGCACACTCCACCACGCAGCGGCCCCCGTCCAGAGCCCTGCAGCGACAACAAAACTACCTTAATCAATAACTGTGTTGCCACACAATGATTGTTCAAAGTTTCTTCTGACAAATTATGTTAAAAAAAGCACATTTTTTTCAAATTCAGAATCAGTGGGATGTCTTCATTTTTCCTCTGACCCTGAATCTAAACTGGCAATTCCAACTCACCGTGAAGAAATGCAGCTGATGCAGTCTTGACTCTGTGGCCCTGTGCACTTCAGACACGTTGCATCACACGCATTACACCTTCCATCACCGTCCTGGTACTCTCCTGATAAACGTACAGCAAGAGAACGGTGCTGAACGGTGCCTAATGTTAGATGCTGAAGAGTAGAAGGTACATATACACCAAACTCACAATATCACATTGTATATACTGTGTACGGATACCATAGATATAAGATGTCCATTTATACTCTAAGTGATACAGAGTTAAAACAAAAACAAACTTGTAAATGTCAGAACTAAATATGTCACTGTCGCATTATATTTATCTAGTAAAAGCAAGAGGGCATGTAACAGAGGATGAAGATGCCTGACTGACCATCTGTGCACACAGTGTTAAAAGAACATGCTCCCTCCTTCAGGCTGTGGCCACTGGAACAGCTGCTGCAGTTCCCCCAGCTTGGCCCCACACAGGTGAGGCAGCTGGCGTCACACCTGAGGAGGAGAACACAGACACCCAACAAATGAGCACATAAACTGACCACCAGAAACAGCCATAAAAGAGCACAACAAACAAACAAACAAACAAACACAGACACACAGAAACCAACCACCAGAATCAGGCCTGCCATCAGCAGATAAACAACCCACCCACACCTGAGCACACACCACTGAGCTCACCTCCTACATATCCTGTGCCCATCGGCTATCTCTGGGTTTGGCTCTGCGGCGTAAAAGCCAGCACTGCAGGAGGACACACACCTCCACTCCTCCATCAAGTAGCCATCTGCACAGTGGTTACATGCTTCAGCACCCGCACCTGATCTCGCATGAGCCAGAAACAAAAAGTTGTCAAAAGGACACAAGAGTTCTGCAAACCATTTATTTTAAAAACAATTAAATACTTTTTCTCACAGCTCAGGACCACCGACCCTTGACCTCTGCCCTCACCTGCACAGGTAGCACAGGCCTTGTGACAGGGCTTGCATGTCTCTTCCTGCTTGTCATGGTAGAATCCCGCAGCACAGCTTCGCTGGCACCTATTCCCCTGCAGACTGGAGAGGGCGGAGAGAGCATGTGGCACGGTGACACACACGCGCACACACAGCCAAACATGTGACACCGTAAAGATGACTCATTGCCTTTAGACTGCAGTTTTCCAACCCACAGCACCCCACCATGAGCACTTTGTGAACTCAGTGAGAGTACTGTAGAGCCGGTGAGCACCGTATTCTGGAGGCTTCTAATTTAGCAGTAAGGTGAATTTATCAGAGATGTTTTGTCGTTTCCTGTGATGATACTGCAAAATGAAAATAAATATACATTTCTCTTTTTTGAGCTCTGTGGGGGGAAAAAAAAAATACACCAGATGTTTTTAATGCATGTTTCTCTAATTGCTATGAAGCTGCACAGGGAGAAGTAATGTCAGCAGCTGGAAGAGAAGGAGCAGCGCTTACTGAGCAGTTCATTCAAGCATCATCAGAGACCGTTTCATTTCACCTTGTGTCTGGTTTGCATTCTGTGCAGATGCTGTAGGAGGTACACTTCAAGCAGTTTTCACTGCACTTTCTGCAAATATTTGCATCTGTGGGGAAATCAAACAACACACATCAGAGCAATTAATCTTACTCACACACCACTCAACTGCAGTTACATCAACCGATGACTCACTTTCAGGCTCGTATGCAGCTGTATCCAAACAGCTTTTCTATAAACCACAAATCCTTAAAGGTTCACTCAAGGACATTTCTTCTGTCTTGTTAAGTGCTGTACGACCCAACAGCCAGCAGAAAGAGGCCATGTGCTGCACTCTCCCAGCACCAAGCTAAACCTTCTCCCCCCCAACCACCAAGACAGCTGCTTCCTCTCTCTATAAATGAAATTCTATCAAGATCTCTGATCAGCAAAATTTCAGCAGTCAATTTTCAAATAAATTTAATTTCAATTCCACACAATGTATTATTTACTTTTACTGTCTTCATTTATTTGATTCAACTCAATTTTAACTCATTTAAATTCAATTTGTTCTCTTCAATTAATAAATGCAATACTACCTTAGTTTAGCTCCATTTAATTTAACTTAATATACTTAAATTCAGCTTTATTTCAATTTTCAATCACATTTAACTTAAAAAAAAATTGATTAGATTCTATTCATTTAATGTTTTAATTTGTTGTTGGTGGTGCTGTTGTCATTGTTGTACAGCCTAATTGTTAGCTTTGTACTAGCAATAAATCTTTACACTTAAGTTTGGTATTTCTCCGTTTTTCCTCTGGCCCACAACTCTGGCCCTAACTCGTATGAGAGAGAGAGAGAGAGAGAGAGAGAGAGAGAGAGAGAGACTTACTATACTACTATCTTACTTATTTACAGATAATTCTCCAGAAAAGATTATTTCCTGGTTGTAAAATTCTGTATGTGTAATAATTCCAGTTATTTTTTCTCAAATTCAAATTGGACTAATTTCCAAAAGTATAATTATAAAAAAAGTGACAAAACCCTCTGAAACTCATAATGGCTTCAGAGCCAGAAACCCAACTGTTGTCAAGATAGTAGTTATCCCTGCAGATGGCTGTGCAAGTGTTGGTTCCCTCAGTCAGGTGATGACCAGGTATACAGGACGTGCACTGGTCACTGCGACTCCCAGTGCAGCTCTCACAGGAAGAGTAGCACCTCTTACAACGACGGCGGTCGCCCCAGAACCCTCTGGGACACTCTGATACACATGTCCTATTGGACAGACACGGGCCAAAGCACAAAGAGGGCACGAGCTGTAACTAAATGAATGGGAGAGCAGAAGATGACATTCTGGGCCGATTTTCACCATTATAATGCAAACCATGCTCATTTACACTGTGCTTCATACCTGCAAGCTTTAGAAAGTGGCATAATAAATGTGGACTGAACAACATTTTTATTTACAATATGCAGAAGCCATATGATCTGTGTCAAAACATACGCGACCCCGTTTTCTGGACTTATTGACTGTACTCGGTGCTTTGTGATCATACTAACCTTGTGCTGTTCTTGAACTTGAGAAAAAAGTGTAAGCACGTGACACACTGCTGCGGGCTGGGCCCCTCACAACCAGCGTCACCACATTCTGAGTCGCAGGGTCCTGGAAGGGCAAATACGTGCAAAGTCACGGCACCAACATAGCAGCAACAAAGCTACTCAAAAGATTGATCAAGTTCAACATTTACATAAAAACTCTCAAGTACAAGTACTACCTGAACTATTTACTGCATTAGAGAGAAGGGTGGAGATACCGGTGAAGCTGAAGATGTTTCATTTTCTGACAATTTATATAGAAAATAAACTATAAGTGGCACATTTTATACTTTCATTAAATTCAATCCTATGTCGGTGGCTTTTATTACTACTGCTACATAAATAATGGGGACATTTGTAGTTTACCAGGGCTGCAACTTATAATCACTTATTGATTAATGTGTTGATTGTTTTGGAATACAAAATGAAATAATTTAGCCTCTATGAGTCAAAACAACTTGGGTTACAACATATTTATGTCTTTGTGTTCAACAAAAATCCAAAACCCAAAGATACTGAGTTTTCTACTTGAGAAGATGAAACCACCTGAGGTCATGTACACTGTAAATGTAGCTGCTGTCTGAGAGGTCTGAGCTGGAACACACAGCAGTTTAATACTAGTACATGACCCACCACTGTATTCAACAGTTAGGTCACTATCCATTGGCATCTCAGCTGATCGGGCTCGCTCTTGACGCACAGGATACGGCTGCTCTGCAGTGCCATAAATCACCAGGGACCACTCCTTTAGCATTCCTAAGATGCAACACAGAAACAGAAGCAGAGCGGGATGAGATACCTGACCCGGTAGGTCTGTGCCGTGTTTTAACTGGCTGGTGTTCTAGCTGAAGTTCAGTACATGTTTCTTAATACCAAGATGCTACAAAGAGGAGGAGCAGACCTAGTTCGGTGCCGTCTCTTTTCTGAGAAGGAGTATCCTGGATTTTCAAAGTCCACTCCCCCGCCGCCCGTTCCCCCCAGCAGTGAGTGGTCATGAATTCCCAGCCGTGAAATCCCTCTGTGGAGTCGTCAAGAGGCCTAAACAACAACAACAGGACACATTCATGACACTACTGCTACCACCACTATTGAAACTGGTTTATATTATGCTTAAGAAGACCCATAACTAAAGAAGTAAACTAGTACCGGTACAACAATGTAAAATATTCTAAGTAATAGTTAAGAGGAATGTTTCCTCATGTACAAAGACAGCGCTGTCAGTAGGTGTCTTTTGTCTGATGAGACAAAACTGAACCCTGAGCACCATGTCTGGTGAACTCTAGGTACTGGATGCCATCTCTATGGTGAAGCACTGGTGGCAGCTTCTTGCTATGGGGGTGTTTCTCAGCAGCTCGAGTGACTCTGCCAGGTGTGCAAAGACTTACCCAAGACTTAAAGCTGTACCTGCATCAGTACAAAGCAGGTTCTATCAAGTACTAAGTTAAAGGTCTGAATAAATGAGTGAGTTATGCAAAAATGTCTAAAACCAAGTTTTCACTTTGTCATTATGTCAAAAATGACAATTGCAAAGTAATGGAAAATTATGTGTAGCTTTGTCTCACACACATTATATCGTACATAGTCATTTCACCCACTGTTAATATAAAAATACTGATTATAGCATCTTTTAATAGTGTACTTGAGTAATAGTTAAAGTACTCTCCACCAATTAACCTCAAAGTTACTGAAACTCTTACACTCTTGTTAGTGGTCTCTTAATTTATGATGCATTTTTGGCCCAAACACACTACATGCTGCAGAAAATTGCGCAAACTTTAGCCAGAAACTTGCCGTAAACAAAATGATGCTGCACTGTGCATTCAAACCATGTGGTAAAGCCATGGGAGAGAGTGTACTAATATTTTAGTTTAGACAGAACATTGCTCTTAGTTACCTGTTAGCTAGCAGCTGCGACATGGTGCCTGAAGGTGACGTGAGCATAATAGAAAGGTCGCCACGGCGAGTGTGAGTGATGGTAACACGGACGACAACATGCTCCACATAAATAACATGCTGCAGGGGCTTGCTGGAGCAGCCGGTAGTCTCATACACAGACGTCACTACCGAGCCTGGATGAATAGCTCTGTCATCACAGAGAGAGGAAAAGAATAAAGTGACATAGTGGCAAAGATATGAGAGGAGGCAGAAAACAAGATGCACAAGGGAAGAGTTACAAGGAAAGGAGCAGTAAATGAAATGACAGCCGTTAAAAAGGGTGAGAATCAATGTGAGAGAAATCCATGTGAGAAGCGAGGCAGAAATAGATAAAGTGGAATCAAGGGGAAGCCCTGAGTCAGAGCGGAGATCTCTTGCAGTGCGGTTGCTGTGATACCTGCTCAGCTGGATGGGAACCTCCTCCACACACTCATGCTGTGAGGGGACTTGTTTCCACCCCTTGGCCTCCTTCACCATGCTTTCAGCATCCAGGAGGCCAAAGCCATATAGATGGCTCACTGACAGACACCCGCACATCCCCAAACACACACAAACAGCACATTAGTTGGGGCATAAAAGGTGCTGTAGCTTATAAAAGACTTCACACACTCCTGGGATTTCGTAGGCGTTTATCACTGTTACGCTCACAGTATCTCATTAGTTTGTGTGCTCAGTGTTTTATAGTTTCCCTAAAAAGACACGAGAGAACATTTACTAGAATATGCTTGTCATGCTATCTCTGCTAATCTTCATTATATGCTTTGAGAGCACTGCGTTCAAAAGATATCATGCAAATACTGAAATAGAAATCTGTTAGAAATTAAGCAGAAGCACCTTTGTATCCAGCCCCATTAACGTGCCAGTCAGGAGCAGTAAGATGATGAGCTTTTGATGTTCGAACGATAATGTGCTGTATGTCCCTCCAGGTTAGCAAGGGGCTAAGTAAAAGGTCAAATAGAGAAAGACATCATACTCTCATCACTCGCTTATTAGAACGCTGCCTGCATGTATGGATTTTGTGTGTGGGACAGGTGCTTACTTGGCATCCAAAATGAGAGCGATGACACCTGCAGCTACGGAGGAGGAGAGCGAGGTCCCTGACAGAGGCTGGCTACAGCTCCGCTGCGGACCCAAGACGACCTGTTGAGGACACCAGATTGTTTTAGCTTTTCAATATTCACTCAGCAACTCAGCACATTTTCTACTTTGCGTTTTTTGCAGCCTTTACCCACCATGTCCTCTGTCTCCCCACCAGTGTAAGCTGCCGCCAGGGTGGAGGTGCACCGCTCCAGGTCGTCTGGCTGGCTTCTGTGCCGAGTGCTGCTGCTGATAGAGATCGTGTAGATACTGCCGCTGTAGCCATCACAGGAACAGTGGTCACCCCTTTGCCCTCCATTCCCTGAGGCCCAGACAAAAACAGAGCCCCTACCATGCCGGCCCTAAGATTAATTGGACAGGAGGACAGAGGTGATTCATTTATTAATGATATTTTCACACTGATGAAGAGGAAACGACCTTGAAGTAACTATACAGCTGCAGGTAGGACACAGACAAACACACACATAAATACTGACTCTCTCTTTGACTCACTGTTTTGATGCCATTCTCTAAAGCAAGACGAGTCAGAGGCCCAGGTCCGTCCAAAGTGGCGCCATCATCTTTTGGTCCCCAACTAGCTAAGTAAATATCTATATACTGTGGTCTGAAGCTCAGTGATTGGGCCTCTACGATGTCTGTCACATCTCCATCTAACATTCGGATGCCTACAGCATGGGGGGGGGGGGAAAACACACAACACAGCTCTGACCTCCAGAATTCCTTTGGCATCCTAGTTTGATGCCGTCACATGAACTCACCGCCTATCCGTGCAGAGAAAGAGACTCCAACCATGCAATGAGAGTTATTTTCAGTGGCAGCAACCGTCCCTGCACACTGAGTCCCATGGCTTCAGAGAAAGGAGGAGAACATCAGAACATCAGGTTAGATGCATAGGCACGAGGAGAAAACAGGCTATTTCCATCAAACCAGTGAGAAGACACACCTCGGAGTGGGGAATTTATACATCCATATATACATGAAATTACTGATAAATAGCAAAGGAAAAGCATGCATTAATTAAAGTCAGAATTATGATGGGGAAAGGAAAATGCAAAACAGGAGCAAACTCACTAGTTCTCAGCATTGTTGGAATAATTTGGAGAAGGATCGGGGTCTTGTCCGTTCACATCATAGCTGGCGAGAGGATCCTGAATCACATGGATAGTTAAGTAGCAGCACATAACGGGCTGCTATCTGTCTGCATTTCATCAGACAAATCACAAAGAGTCACCAGTCCACTCAACAGTTAAGTGGATCATATGTTAAATGTCCATTCCAATAGACTTAGCCTGCCTTTTCAAACCTTTTGTCCATGAGCCCTGCCTCCAATATCTGTCCCAGTTCTGCACTCTCACATTAAGAGCTTTGCCAAACTGCTTATGATTAATGTCCCCTTCCCAGGGCGCACCCCATCCCAGGGCACTCACATAATTTGGCTTCAGGTCCGGGTGCTCTCTCTCAATGCCATCATCTAGGACAGACACCACCACACCCTTCCCAGTATACCCTCTCCTCCAGGCTGCGATGATGTTCATTGGAGACTGGCAGCCGTTGGACTCATCGCTGCAGTGCTGGGGAGCAAACAGCGAGACATATTTAGCCCTCGGGAATAAAGAATAAATCAGGGTCTATTTTAGGCTCTGTCTGTGTTTCAGACTTGAGCTTAGTAAAGGGGATGAGAACTGTCTCACAGTGTACCACGGGCTGTTCCACCCTGGGTCATTGAAATGCAGTGTCTGGGTGTCGTTAGACTGAAGGTGGACAGTGGGAAGGTGTTTTGTCTTCATGTTAACAGAGTAGATGTGACTGGCTCTGGAGTTCCTCTTCTCTCTTCTCTGGACCACCTGCTGTTGGAGCCATTCCACCTTAAAAGGAACAGACAGTGAATTTATACAGAAGTACTTTCAGCCATACACGCAGCACGGTTCCAGGGATGTCAGTGTCACTCTGTCGCCCGATCCATCACTATGGTCCAGACTCAAAATGTTTCAGCTATCAGACAAACTGTAATAAAATTTTGTCCAGACGTTGATAGCGGAAGACATTCGGTGCAGACACTCATGTTTTATCAGAAAAGGACTCCTGAACTTTTCCACTAGTGCCTCCATGAGGCTGATGGCATTTTGAGAGAAATGTCAACAACTGTTGGACTGATCACCTTGAAATGTAGTAGTACACACCATCAGGGTGAACTGTAACTTCGGTCATATCTTCATTTTTTTATCCTTTTACTGTCACCAGGTCAAAATTTCAAATTGTGCAATACTTTACCAAAGTCAGACGGATCAAAGTTTCTAACAATCAGTTCATCATTTCAGTCATTTGCAAAGAAAAAATGTGTAACAATCTGCAATGACCAGCTTCACAAATGAAGAGTGAAGATTTCATGCTTTCTTTCACAAAAGTCTTAGTCAGACAAAACGAATTTCAAGATGCCACCTTGGGCTCTTGGGAATTATAAAGGACATTTCTCCACTATTTTCTGAGCTAGTCTAAACAATTACTCAATTACAATTAATTGCAACCCAAATCTAAGTGTGATAGATGTTTACTCCATGATGCAAGGAGACTGTGCTTATGCTTTTCTATTTGGAGCTAAGGGAGGGGGACCTGAGGCCAATTAATAATCCAGCAGTCTTCTGCTTCTCCTCATATCCCATTACTATACCTCAGTCTCCTTGGCGACGCTAGCAGTCACCTCTCTGTTGGACCCGCTGGCCCTCTTTGCCGTCTCATGGTGGCGAAAACTGTAATAACTCTTCAGGCCTCCAATCTGATGAGAGAGACATCAAATCCTCTAAAACACTATGCTTTTAGGTGAAGTTGTGTTGCTTGTCCTGCTGTGTCACTGTTAAATTATGAAAATGCCTTTGGTGTCTTTCATTAAGGTGGCTACCGTACACCTGTGATAGTTTTTCAGATGAGGGTAACCTGAGCCACAAGTCTCAAATCACACAGCTGCTTGTGTGTGTGTGTGTGTGTGTGTGTGCCTTAGACATGCAAAATAATGTACATGTATCTGTGTCCATAATACCCTGACATAAGCAGATTTTCTAATAGACAAGAAGCAGTGCAAGGGTAATTTATGTTTAATAAAAGGTCATAAAATGGCCATTTTCTGTGAATGAAACGAATAAATTATGGCTGAAATTTATTGCCTGATGGCTCTGTGGAAAAATTGCTTGAGTTCTGACCTCAGCACTATAAAGCGGAAGAATCTATTCAGTTTCAGAAGGTATTTCTACTTCATGTCACCCACAGTGAAACATGGACCCAAGACCTTTAACTTTCACTACAGCATCAATGTGGAAGGAGTACGTGTGTTGAATTTTATTGGCTCTATTTAATTTATATGCTTTATTATTTATTGATTTTTACTTTTATTTGGCCATTCGGTGGCTGTATTCAGAAGTCTGGCCTGATTATCTTTCATGTAATTGTATCCTGACAAATCCTTTCCAACCTTGGTTAAAAAACACTTGGATCTTGGTTCTTCGAGGTATAGCTGTTTGGATAATTAATACTGTATGGTCGAGGTCAGGATACTGAAAGGAAATTACGTGGTGAGAGAACAAAATGTGACTTTTGGCGTCTTGACAGACTGTAGATGAGCACCTGCTGACTTCTGGTTTAAAGAGGATGCCACAGTAGTAAAATCCCATAACAGTGTTGAGGACGCGTCAGTCTAAATGATTAGTAACATCTTAACTTGATTCTGCATATTGGACCTTGCACACATTTGTTTTAGTGTCATGACGTTTGCTGGAGCTCGGCGTCCTAACGTTAAACAAACTTTAGCAGCAACTAGGATCGTGAATGAAAATGTCCAGTGTGTCCATGTGTGGTGCTTCTTACCTGGCCCGTGTTAGTAAATCCGTATTTCTCTGCAATTCTGTTCACAGACTCAAGGTCCCCTCTTATTCTTATCGCCCAGTCATTGGTGTAAATGTTTGCATGACAAAACTGGAGGAGAGTCCCCATCCACAGCGCCATAAAGAGCACCATTGCTGCTCAAACTAACAGACTTCCTCTAATTAGACAGTGCCCAGGTGTTTCACGCGTTCCTCCAAATTGAATCGCACTGTCGTAAAGACTTTAAACGGAAGGATCTTCGGCTGAAGTTGTCAGACTCTCTTTGGCTGGAAAGAAGCAGCTATCAGATCACTGCTTCAACATGGGAGCCAGGGATCAATTAGTGCGTCCTTCACGCTGTTTGTTTGGCCTACCTGAGGATCCGGTGTGCGCGTTGGAGCCCCATATCCGTACGCTGCAGCTTCGGCTGCGCGTTGCAGTTTAATCAAATAGATCCTCTTTAACTCTGCTAATTTAAAACACAAGTACAACATGCTGTAGTTTGAAGTAACCCAACTATCATCAATAGCATGTGAGGATTATTTTATTCATCATGATCCAGAACAACAGCAATAAAGCATCGCTGCAGCGGTTGGTTATAATTTACCTTACAGACATGATCACATCCTAAAACAGTCTCAGCCCTTAAAACCTTGTCCTGAACTTAGAGACCGTGTTAAGCATTTTGTGGAGAAAAATAAGATTTGCCTGGAGACGATGGACTTTTATTTTATTGTATTTTCATTTATTTTTATTGATTTATTTATTTGGCCAAATATTTCCCCCCTTGGCACCACAACAGTTTGTGCATGTGAAGCAATATTCTTGCATTTAAATATCCACTGCTTTAACTGGGTCATTTTGAAACGGTCAGAAAAAGTCCTACCTAGTGCATGAGACATTATAATGTTGCAAGTCTACAAAAAATGTAATACCTAGTCTAAAGTGGTGATAAATTGCAGTTATAGGCTCCAGTGTGTAAGCCTTGAGTAATACCAGAGCAAATTTGTGAGCTGTTGACTTCAGCACATGAGATTGTTAAAGGAATAGTTTCTAGCAAGGAGAGTCAGTGTGACACACTGTGATATGTTGTTTTAATGCTGCAGCTCCTACAGTGTCCACAGATCTCATTCATTTAAGTAAATAAACTCTGATGCCTTTATTAATAATTTTCTGCACAGAGTTCAGTGGATGCATGCACACTAATCCTTCCAGGCTGTCAGCTCACCTGGGCACAATGAAGTGGGAGGTTATGCAATGACGACGACAACAACCACCAAATGTACACTCACTGGCCACTTTGTTAGCTACGCCTGTACAATTATATGTAATTCAGTGCAACACTTCCACCTTATCTTGTGTGTTTATGAAGCTCAAAATGGTTCAGTGTTTGGTGAAATTGTCATAAATGTCTAAATTGAATTATATATTTCTTTTTAAGGTCATAGTTAAAGGTGGTGTTGCACTGGACTACATTATATTCAGAGGTGTTCCTAATATGATTCTCATAGATGGGGAGGACAAAAATATAAAGACACCTCTACAGGTGTACAGGTATACCTAGTAAAATGGCTGTGGTTGTATATACAGATAAAATGTACCCCACCTCTCATCTATATTGTCTGGGATTGGCTCCAGCTGGCCCTCCCAGCCCTCTACAGGATAAGTGATACAGATAATGGATGAATGGATGGTAGTTAGACCAAAAAGTTGCATTATAATGCCATATCTTTGACTCCATTATCTTTGATGGATGATCAGTTCTAGTGTGTTTTCAGATAAATAACTTTAAATATAAACAGCTAATTGATTTTTTTTATGCAAAATAAGGGACTGAGCAGGGTCTAGAGACTTCCTCAGACAACTTCCACTACACAGCAGCTGGTGTGTTGTTTGTGAAGCAAAGTCCAGAGCAAATAAGTCTGCAAATCATTTGCTACTGCTTAAAAAACTTTCATAAGTGCACTAAAATAACTGCAGGCCGCTCAGATGAGCATTTTGACATTTTGTTCAGCTCAGAGCCTCTCTCATGTGGATGTGTTGGTTGGACAGTCAGAGGACACAGTGTTTCAGCAGCCTGTTAGTGAGTGGATCACAGTGAAACTGGAAATTCCCAGTGGAAATTATGCTCTTGGTTAAACATTCATATGCAGGCCTGATAAATAGTTCAGTCTGACACATTTATGCTTTGTCGTTTGATTTTAACATCTATAATCTATGTTCAGCTTTTAATGTGGTACAGTTTTATGTATGCCATTTAGTTGGGTACATGTTGGGAACTTGTTCTGCCGTTGTGAGGAGACTGGGGGAGAAACTGCAGGAGGAGCTGAAATGAATGTTTTGTATGATCTACAAAGCTGGAGAGCTCCATTTCATCTCAATATAATGTAACGTTTTAGAGAGAAAACCCATTTCAACTTCACATCCAGTGCCAAATTACCTTATTATTGCATGTTTCATACACTTCAGCACTGTATGTACAAATGTAAACTGCTGATATTGACAGGAATTAGAGAAGGATTACCAGAATATGTGATGCAACACATCCCAGGATGTTAATTTTATTTCAGAAGAAATGGTGCCTGTTTTGCATCAGACTAAGCCTGATTGTCCTAGAATTGTAACATATTCAACTGTATATTTTTTAATTACACATATAATGTTATTTAACATCATGGAGATAGTTCACTGACTCTGATCTCCAGGGACAGAAATCAATTAATACCACAGGATTAGTCATATAATTATGTCACTGGAGACCTACTATATGTTTTTGACAGGTAGATGAGGTTCGTAACGCAATGCATATTGTATGTTATTGAAGGATCTCCTATTAATTAAGATGAGTTACAGGCATCCGCTTCCTGTTGCTGATTTGATGCAGTGGGAAATAAAAGTCAGCTGCAGCTGATCATTTCTGACAAGGAAGCAGCTGGTCTTTCCCCCAAGACTTAGTATCTGTATATAAATCCAGATGGGTATTAATATGAAATATTTAAAACCCTGGAAAACTTGGCTTCAAATCCTACTGTAAGTATAATCAGTGCTGAAGTAGAAAAGACACCTAGGTATGAGATTTTGGTAAATACACTTATTCATGCTCTTGCTGAGTGTTACTGTATATAAGAAGATTGATAGTTCTCTGGAGCCTCTATGCTGAACATAAACCTACTGCCAGCAGCTTTTTAGCTAAGCTTTGCCTAAAGACTGGACAGCTGTGGTTTTATTCTTATTCTGATTGATTGTTATCACCAGTTAGGAGCTAGCCTCTGTTACAAAGGCTACCCCAGTAATAAAGCACCTCCACAACAAACAGCCATGCTCTGCTCACTATGAAATGTGGCAATTTCAGCAGCTTCTACTACTGTGGATCAGGAAATGAAGCTGAGCTGTAATGTTCAGTGTCCACCTTATCCTTGAATTGTAAATCACAAAGAGCAGGTTCATGATGCAATATGCACCCAGTCTTTATCATCTGCTGCACAATAGGGTAGAAAACAAACCAGCTGAAAAAAAAAAAAAACAAAAGGAAAAAGCACCTCTCGGCGAAGCAGTCACAGAACTTTGAAGTAATCTAACATGACTTCAGAGAGACTGACTTTGATGTTCAGAAAACCCTTCTCAAACAGTGACACGTTCCCCTGAATATAATTGTCAAAGGTGTTCCTGAGCAAGCTGACTGTCCTGCAGGCAGCACAGGCATTAACTCTCACTGTAGTTATTCTTTGTTCAGAATTTCTCACTGTTTTATAAACTCTCACTGTATGGCGGCATGAGTTTTGCCACATGACACCATGATGAGAAGTTTACATTTGGAAGCTCCTAATCACTGAGCCCAAACCTCCTGACATTACTGACACAGATGCTCTATATGAGTATTGTCATACACAAGCTGTAGATGTGGCAGTTCTCAAGCAAACGCAGCTGTTAAACTGTTAAACTATGGTTGGCAGTGTTAACCTGAACTACACTATGCTTACTTAAAAAAAAAAACTGTGCATCTTACCAGCAAATTTTACAACTAATCAGTTTTTAGTTGTTAAATGGAATTTTGAAAGAAAAGAGCCACATCAATGTCAAATGACTTGTATATTTGCCTAACATGTATCTCAGGGGAACAAAGGAACAATCTTAAACTGAGTACATCTGGGGTCTAAACAGTGATGCTGCTCACATGATGTCACAAACACATGTAACAAAACCAATTACGAGTGAAGGAATGAGCTCACAGTCAGAACCTCTCTCACAGCCCAGCTCCTGTGTTGATGTTCCTCTGAAGTCCCAGTAGTTATATACATTTGGAAGGTTCTTCTAAATCTCCTGTCGTGTGAATTCAATCTGTGCCTTTGATGCACATCATCCCACTCTCTCTTAAACTCTTTGCCTTCGATGTGTAGTAGCTGACATTTTCTGTCAAGGCAAAATGTCCAAAACTAATCAAAATTTATGCATCTTATTGACAAATTGAGCTTATTGAATTTTCTTCCCCATACATTTCCTATCTCTTCTAAGTCTTGTGTCGCAGGTCCACAGTGTTTTTGTGTCCTCAGTTCAGCCACGATGTGTTTGCATTTCATTGCCCTTTTTACCATCAGTGACAGCCGGGGAGAATTTAGCTAGTATTTTATTAAACCAATCTGCAGCTATTGCAGTTGACTCAGAAACATGGCAGGTCATCTTGAAATGGGTACTTTTTAATTCATTATTTGGAATTTCCAAGTGACACATGCATGCGTGCGCACATACACACACACAAATATAATTGGGATTCTGTGTGTGTGTGTGTGTGTGTGTGTGTGTGTGTGAGATGCCTCTGAAATTTAGAAACCCAGGCATAGTGTCAGTATGCGGGTGGGTATAATTTTAATTTGGCTCCTCTGGTCCACATTCAACCCACATTTTTCTTTTATTTGGTCACTAATGAGGCTCCTATCTCGGTTCAAAGAAAAGAAAATTCTTTCAAGTATCACTGCAACTGTGGGGTTTGTTTATCAGCATCATTATTAAGTCATTGAGAAAAAGACAGTTTGTGTTGCATCATTTATTGCATTAGCCTTCAAATAATATGATTTTGCTGCTGGACTCATGGACAGGTCACGTCTCCAGCACCTCTGACTTCTCAGTCTGATTGACTGTAAAATGATCTCTTTAGTTGTAATGTGGTAAAGTGAAGCACAGTATCTTTGTAGCAGCCTAAGCTCAATGACTCATGCAGTATTAGCTTTGCTGCTTCCTCTCAGCATGCAGGGGCAGTTGTAGTTGTTTTCACATGGCCATTATGCATGCTTGTTGATGCCTCAAGACATGGTTATTTTTTTCTCCTTCAGTTTCAACTGATGTTGCACCAGATTGCGTGAGCCAACTTTGACCCTTGATGTTTCTGTGAATAGGCCTCCAAAATAAGCTCGCTCTCCCTTTTTCTCTGCAGGCCGCTGTGTTTCTCTGGAACACCTTAATGACCAGGCTGGATCAGAGCCCATTTACCTGGTGTGTCAGTGTGAACCGGTAGCTTTCCTTGTAAAGCTTTTCTCCCTTTTGTGTGTGCCAGAATTCTTGAATAGCACTGCAGCATTGCTGACAAAATAGTTACCTACCTCACTCCAGAATTCCTACACACACACACACACACACACACACTTCCTTTGTCTTTATGAATTCAAAGCCAGCCTGCTCTGGCTCCTTTGTTCCCCTCTCCAGGCTGGGCTCAGATCCTCTCTGCTCTCTGTAAACCCGCTCCGCTCTGTCATCAGGATTACAGGCTGTGCAGTAGCAGATTAATGACTGACAACACTACAGTCCTGCACAGCACACACACAGTTACAAGGAGGGAGAGTGTGCCTGGTTGTGAGGTACAGAAGAACAACTGCGGGGGAGATAATGCATTGTGTTGCTCTGAGAACAATATGTTAGCTGTGCGACTGTGCGTGCGATGTGAAATTGTGTTGCTGTGAGAATGTGAGTGCAATTGTGTGTGTGACAGAGTCTGTGTGTAAAATTGTTGCTTATTTTGAAGTGGTGGTACAGTGTGTGCAGCATAAGCTTTTCAACTTGTACACCTCAGTGCAGCACAGCAGGAAGAAGCACTATTTCAGTGAGCATGTTGCCTCTGTTTAACAAGCTTAGGTTGATATGTGTGTGTGTGTACTGTATGTATGTGTATGTTTATGTGGACATATGCATGCTTGTGTACTCTTGTCTTAAAAGCCCAGCATGAAAAGACCATTACAAGTCCAGTACAGAAGTGAGCGTGGACTCCTGCCGGACAAAATGCCTGAAAAATCTATTCCCTCCAATAACGCTTCTCAGTAAAAACAAAACAGAGCCTGTTTGTAACTGCTTTGTTTCAGGCAAACCTGGCAGTAGTTGTACAGCACAAATCCAAACAAGCAGGCAAACAACCTGGGACCTAACACTTTCTGAAATTTGGAATGAATTACTGTAGACCAGAATCTCAACCCACCTCAGAGCCTCACAGAAACAGCTTATGTGTGTCATGAATTACTAAGGAGTAATATCTGGGGCTTCTTACAACCATCAAACAGCTGAGACTTAAATTCCTGAGACCTGCCCTGGAGTGTCCTGGAAAGTGAGATGTCTGAGCTGCCATCTGAGGACTGAGAAGCTTCGGTTACTTGTATTCAGTTGTGATATCTTGGAAATACATACACGTTTTCTGGTTTATTAAAGACTGACAATCATTTGCCTGCTCTTGTTTCCTAAAAGTGTTTTCACGACCCCTCATATTTATTCTATGACGCTCTGGATGCAGACCAAACCATAGGTGTGGAGCCACTGGACTGAACTACAGCAACAAACTGTATGTAAAGTAGTTAAAACTAGCTCCACTTCAATGCACTACAGCAGTAAAAGGCTAAGAATTTAAAAATGCAATATATAATGACAAGGGACCTTTATATACAGGAGTACGTGCACCTTTCATACCATAGGTACATTTTACTGACAATCCTTTTAAGTAAAGGTTCAGATATATTATCAACAAAATGTAGGATTTTCCATACAGGACTTTTACTTGTAATGGAGTATTTTTATATTAATGTACAGTACTGGTAATTCTAATTCAACCTGCTGAAACATGTTGACATATCATCATCTTTTATGAGGACTTTAGCTATGGGTTATAGCCGCTTTAGGTAGATCACCTTCTTCCACCACTGACAGTATTGAGCCCAGAATGAAAACACGCACCAGTCAGCTTTGGTAAAATACTTTTATAGAGCAGTAATCCATATCTGAAATATAGCATCCAAGCAGAATAGCTCTGATATGTACAGAACTCCTCTCACCGTTCCCTCAGCTTATATACAGTTTGCTTTTTATGCTAATGTATTAGTTTGTTTATGTATGTGACTGTGTGTGTTGTATGTGCATGTAGACATGTATAGTAGTTTTAATCAGTTACAGGTTATTAAAAGTTTTAAACACAGGTCATAATAATTATTTTAAATGTCTCTGGATATAAAAGCTGGTGTTCTGACCCTCATTAATCCATTAATGAAGATGAATCCTTCCTCTCTGTCTTCTGCCTACTGTATAAACTATTCATCTTTTATACTGTAAATATGCTCCATCTGTTGTACTGTTCCCCTTGCTCCACTGCACCCGCTATATATTCTCTTATATCTCCTAACTGCTTCATAACTATGAGTCATTTTGTGGACTGAACCTTTGCTTTTATTTGACTGTATGTGCACCCCCGCTTACATCAACTCCAACAGCTAAAATCATAACCTTTGCACCTTTCTCCTTCCACAGGTTTGTTTGCAGTTTAATTCCCCAATTCAATTCACACTTTTTAAAAAATAAAATCTAAATTCATATATAGCTTTTAAAAGAAGGGTATGCAGTGCATTACAGTATCAAAATGTCTCTTGCTTTGTCCACCAGCACTCAGAGAAACCAGAAGCATTTCTTCCTGTTCTTCTTGGTGGTGGCAGGCAGTCGCACCGACTGAGGTGAGTCTTGTTGGTGGAGTGTGGTGGGCTGGGGAGTGGCAGGCTGTGACAAGCCCTCAGGAGGGTCACCCACCTTCCACGTACGTACCACCTGCCCTTCCTGGAGACGAAAGTCATGTTCTACACTAGAGCCAGAGGAAGAGAGAGACAGTGTGGGAATGTGTTAGTCATTGGAAGTGTGTTGAAACCTGCAATAACACTTCCACAAGCTGAACAAATTCAATTCTTTTAAGCTGATATGACAAACTTGTTGGGAAACAGCTGCTCATTTACACCTTCAGCAGTTAATGAAGTAAATTAATATTTATTTGGAAGTGTGTTTCTGGCTACCTGGCAAAGCTAAGTCCAGTACGGACTCTGTTTTAGCTCTCTTTTTGGTCTCCACCAACTCCTGATGGAAATACCTCTTTAGCTGCTAATAGCTCCACTATATTCACCAGTTAGTTACTAATGGTTTCTATGTGTCTTTTATGCTGAGCAGGTAGTGTGCAGTGAGCAGAAAACAGCTGCCTGCTGTGGCCTAAAACTAGGCTATAAGAGCTGTGAGAGTGAAATAAAACAGTAAAGTTGAAAGCTGAAACTCATTATAAACCTCCATAAAGGTGTCACACACTGTGCTCACATTGTCATTTCATGCACTGTTACAAAACGTATCAATAATATCCCCTTTAAACATTGCAGAAATATAAAGAAATCACAGCAGTATGCATAGTGCAGGTTACAAGGAAGAACTAGTGTGAACAGCATCAAGAGAAGCAGTGAGGGCGATCGCATCTGCTACTTCCTAGTAGACAATAATGAAGCTGTTGACAAAGTAAATCAAGAGCTAAAATGCTGAGTTTCACAAAAAATGTTGCAGCACCAGGGGGATCCAGGACTGCAGTTGACACACACAACAAATGAAAAGTCAGCAAGGTGCATTGTCAGTCACATGACAGTATAGCTCAGGGACTTCACTGCAAAATGAGATGTGAACTCTGATGCACCTCTGCAGAAGCTATAGGTAAAGGTAAGCAATAATAAATGAATACATCTGCAAAAAAGGAATAAGGTCAATATTTGCTTGCTGATTACTTTTGTCCGTAGCTACATATTGGGTAAGCCTTCCTCCTGTGAACAAATTCTTTTTCCTCCTTTCTTTTTTCATTCATTTTACTTTGCTGTTATTCTTGCTTATTATGCAGTGGCCTAGTTAGCTGGTGTTTCTCATCACAGCACAGATGCTGGAAATAAAGAGGACTCCCTCAGTTGAGGATATGAGGAAAGAAGTGCTGCAGAGGAAGCAAGGAGGACTGAGCTCAGCAGCAGCGGGGCCTGGAGTTTGGAGGCAAGAACAATGAGGACTCTCACATTAATATCCATCTGGCTTCATAACTCCCACTCAGTCACTCAACCACTTCGCCCTGGATGCACACGATGAAACATCACAATCCAGACAGGAGCACAGTGCAGGCAACGAGTGTGGACAGAATAAAGTGCAAAAAAGTGAGTGGGTACAAAGAACAGTGGTGAGGATTTCTTCCCCCCGCAGTATTTACAGCAGGTATAAAAAAAAGCCACTTCAACTAAACCTCTATGTGGCAGCTGGGACACCTTCACAGCTTGAAACAAACCCTCACAGCTGAGTAAAATGAGGTGCTAGTCAGTAGGAGAGTAAAGCAGTGGAGTCTGTCTCTGCCATTCTACCACCCTGAAATGGATGGTAGTAAATAAAGTGCTCCAATCCCACGTCTTCACTGCCTCCCTATTTGTGCCACTATACAGCTCAGCTCCCTATAGAGCTCCCCAGCGACTCTCGCCTTGCGTCGACTATGTTCCCTCTTCGTGAAAATGAATAGCCCTGGTCCACAGCTCTGCGTGATCAAGGCGCACAGACACTGTAGGGAGCTGTCCACCCTCAGCCTTAATTATCTGCACACTGAGCCCACTAAATGTCGCAGGCAGGAAGCGGTGAACCTAACAGTTCTTCCCACTGTGCCTCTTCTGTCCTTTGCCCACATCTCCGCTTTTTTGGTTATAGGCCTCACCTCATCTCAGGTTCTGCCTGTGGGCAAAAAATATAGTGTGTTTTACAGTTGATGCAGGCCTTATTTTATAAGCAGAGAGGGAGAGAACGATAGAGCCAGTGTGTTTGCCTGAACTTATAGGTGGCAGTGGCAGGCTCATTCTAACACTAACCCACGTAAAGTTTGGGAAAAAAGTGCTTTCATATTAGTTTCACAGTACTGCTATGTGTATACTATACTGTACCTCATGTTCAGTACACAGCTTTGGCAAACATTAAAGTTCCCTCCAGTCAAAAGTATGTTTTTCTTGTTGTTATTTTATTGAAATGTTTGACCTCCACTGTACAGAGTAGTAGAAGAAGTAGTCAGATCTCTTACTTAAGTAAAAGTAGCAGTACCACAGCATAAAAATAGTCTGTTACAAGTAAAAAAAAAAAGTCACAGCTAAACAGCTGAATATCATAGAGATATAACATGTAATACAAACAACGTTACAAAGGGAAATAAGGCAAATCTAGACTGTTAATGTAAATGTAAACTATATGTGATGAACTCAGGTGTTGTCAAAACCTTTGTTATGCCATAGAATCACTGCAGCTTAGTGTCTGGTCATCTTCTCTCCAATATATAACTTAGACTAGTGTGAAGTGGAAACTTGAAACCTTCAGCTCACACACATTGTGAATAGACATGTCAGTGAAGAATGAAACATTATGTGTTGTGTATTTAAGCTGTTGAACTGAAATTTATTTGTATAGATTTTGCTGTCAACAACATATCTGCTGGAAAAGTCAATATTTCTTGCTGTAAAACATGTGTCAGTACATTATCACCATTTGACCTTACATTGCATGTTATTCCATCTTTGCCGATCTACTGTGTAAATTGACCTCACTGACCTTTCCCACAAGCACTACCCTAGCATCTTTAGAGGGGGGCTGAATCAGCAGAGTTGTAGTTGTTGTGGTTGTTCATAACTGCCAATTAACAATAACAGAGAAAATTAACACTCACATTTGAAATATTATGACTGTAACAATATTAGCACTAGAAATTCCCAAATTACTGTTTCTGATACTGTGGCTTTAACTACAGTCAGATGAGGTTAGTATGGAGCGCCGGAGAACAGATTCTGTTGCACTTTCTGTAAACGAGGATGTTAAGTGCAGTCATATTGGATACACATTACAAATTTGACAAGCTGAAAACACTATTTTAAAACAGCACTTTAAAATAATATAAGCACAGAGGTTGAGCAGGGCTTCATCTCTTTTTCATCCTTCCATCTATAAAACATTCATACAGCACCAGCAAGAGATCATCATTTCTCCTCCATCTCCTCTGCTATGTGTTTTTGTGGAGTGGTTGAGGAAAGACTTTGAGCAGAAATATAGCAGTGCAAGGGCAATCAACTTGAAAGAGCATTGCAATTTTCTCTCCTATAGTCTGAGTATCCTTAAAAAAAGACAACTCTCATTTCAACAGGAATTACAAGAGCAGTCAATCTCTGTGTTCATCTGGGATGTATACTCATACATATTCAGATAAATGTGTACATGTGTGCAACGAGACTGCAACTCCCAACCCCTCAATATCTACGCACATACAGCCACGACAACCTCCCTATTACAACGTGGTAGAATAGGCTGTGGTCTGAGATATTACACTCTCCTCAGACTATTACTCCGTGATGGTCCCACCAGTTTCTGGGCTGACGCTGTGTCCCAAACAGTGGCTTTAATGATCCTCATGTAATACCTGTGATAACATTCAGATCAGATTAAACACAAACATGTGGGTACTTTGTAAAAGTGTCACTGAGTCTGTGTTGTTTGAATCAAATCTTTGATTCACACTTCACCCAATTAGTGTGATTTCCTCAGCTTATCCACTTCAGTAAACTCTGCAGGAGCATGATGCCGAAAGCTTTAAAACAAAGATCTTCATGTGTTGTTTATATATGTATGTCTAGGTTCTATATGTATGTTTACTATACTGTACGTATATAGCTGCGTTTCCACTATTAGAACCTAACGAGCAGTACCCTGTATCATCAGGTTAACTTTACTGACAGCTGGCTGAGGCATTTTGTTTTGGTGCGTCTGATGCCTCATACTGATCATGAATGACAGACTGTGGGTCCCAGTGTAACCACTGAGCTATAAGAGGAAGTTTTATTCTGGAGAAAATCAATAACTTTACATAGCGAGACCACCATTCACCAAGCTCACAGAGGTCTTGAAGGAATCTCTTCACAAAGCCTGAAGATATACAGAAGGCTTCAAAGACAACACAGTATTAGAACCAGTTAAAGTGGATGTCTGCAACAGGCTGAGAATGGTGAAGCAAAGTATTATATTGCTGGGAGGAGACTCTGTGACTGAACAAGAAAAGAAAGATACTGACACTGTAAACATGACTAATGCCTCAGGGACATATCACCATATGATTTATGCTATCCACAGTAGGCTTTGCAATATAATTGACTCTAATCATAGGAGGCTAAAAGCCTAAATGCACATCACCAGCAGTCAGATCACAAGCCACAACACCTCTTAGCATAAGACGGAACAATTTATTGTATTCAAACCATGCGTTAGGATACAAATCTGGACTTTTTCAAGGTCACTACATTTGGCTTCATAAAAAGGTCCTGAAGTTCTTGGCAGGAGTTCAGAATAAACAAGCGGAAACCTGTTGGGGATGATTTTAACCTTGTGATGTTACTGTTTCTTCCTCTGGTATTTTTTCATTGTGTGATAATGAATGCCTAATATTTACATTTTTAAAACAATTATTCACATAGATTTGACTAATGTGATCTTATTAGTGACCTCTGACACTTTCCATTGTGCCTTGTTTTCAAAAGAGCACAGCCATTCCCAGTAAAAGACAGTGCACATTCTCACCTTGTGAATAAAAAGCTCAAAATACTGTGCACTGAAGAGACCAGGTGAAGAAACCAGAGAAAATCCTCTGCACCAAACAGCTTTGTAAATAAATAGGAAGTGAGATTAAGGATGATTACTAAGGACAAGGAAATAAAAGCAGATGTAGGCCAGAAGCTTGCAGACCCATCAGGGTTAGCCTATACCAGCTTAAGACTCGACCTGCTATTG